AGTGTCTAACCGTATTGTATGTGTGCACTCTCTGGCCATGGTTGCATTCCATTGACCTGCACATTAATAAAACACAGAGTATATCCTTCACTCTGCGTCTCCATGACTCCTGGAGAAGAAGGGAGAGCTGAATTTACAGAAGCCAAAGGCGAGTCGCTCTGCATGTCAGGGGTATTAATTTATGATTTTCATCACAGTCTGTGACCCTCTCACCTCTATTAGAATGCAGCCGCTGTAATTTCATGGTTAATATTCAATAGCCACTTGTCCCCTGCGCCTGCTGTGTGCATGGAAGATCTCTAGAGGGGGTGTATGTCATTTATGATGTGTGTGACTATGTGTGTGTGTGTGTGAGAAAGACTGTGTGTATGCGTGTGTGTGACTGCAACTGTATGTGTGTGTGTGTGTGTGTGTGTGTGTGTGTGTGTGTGTGTGTGTGTGTGTGTGTGCGCGCCTGTGTACTAAGGGAAATGGCTTCCTCCAAAACAGTTGCAGATGTTCTCTCTCTTTCTCTCCTCCCCATCTGAGGCCCAGTATGAATGGTCTCTCTGTGAGACCTGTAGGGCTGGCCTCCAGTGCTGCTTGTGGCCCTGGGGCTAGACACTCACACACAGGCCCAGTTATCTCTGACCTCTACACAGGGACAGTGGGATGGACAGGCTGGGGTACTGACCTCACAGCCAACGCATACTGTACACACACAACACAAGACTCTTTACGTCTGTGAGTATCTATGTGGGTATAGTATACAGAGAGGGGGAGAGAGGAGGTTGGAGGTAGAGAGAAGCATGAGAGATGGGATTAAAAAAAAGAGGAGATGAGAGAAAGCGAGGGGGGGAGATCTCAAACAAACACAAAAGTCCCAGCATTTCTCCACATATTGATGCATTGGCCCAAACAGGCATTCCTGCTCAACGACTGTGCTCTGTTCTGCATGAGCCCAGTTGTTGCTCTGTTTTCTCCACAAAGACAAGGAAGGGGGAGGAGGGAGGGAGGAGGTGAACAGAACAGTGCAAAGACATTATGGGGAAAACAGAATAAAGTAATCCTTTTTTTCTCTCAACAAGATAGGGGTCAAAATTATTGGCACCCCTGTTTTCAATAATCCGTCACCCTCCCCTTGCGAGGATAACGGCACTGGGCCTTTAAAAAAATTTTTTTTATGAGATTGGAGAACACATTAGGAGGAATCTTAGACCATTCCTCCATACAGAATTGAAGAGGGCCATAAGTGCAGACGAAGGAAATTAAGGATCTGGAAAGATTCTGTATGGAGGAATGGTCTAAGATCCCTCCCAATGTGTTCTCCTATCTCATAAAACATTTTACAAAAAGGCTCAGCGCTGTTATCCTCGCAAGGGGAGGGTACCGGAGTATTGAAAACAGGGGTGCCAATAATTTGGACCCCTATCTTGTTGAGGATACTTTTTTTTTTTTTTACTTGTTAAACAACATCTTTCTCTGTGCAATTGAATTAGTATAAAATCATTTCCATTTTTATTTTATTTTTTACATTATTTGTATTATTTATTTGATAGTCTGTTTTGGAAAGACGTGGAGGGTGCTCAACCAACGTGAGTCGAGGTGCAACCAAAAAAAGGGAAAAGGCGCAACACTCGCTCACCATAAAAATATATTTGTTTTATTTAAGCAAGGTTAAAAGATTAACGTTTCAGCATTCAATACATCATCAGAATACAGTATTTTTTGCTCATCTTTAACAAGGGTGCCAATAACTTCGTTCATGACTGTAGATACTCTATTTAGGGCCTATCAAAATAAAATGTTACTCAATACAGCATAATTTAAACTTGTTCCAGCGTTAGCGGAGACTGTATTTACGGTAAAAGCTGCATATGTCGGCTCAATCGGAAATTACATTTACATTTCTATCGCGCAATCAGAAATACAGATTGAATAGTCTGTTCAGAGAAGAGACATTTAAGTAAATATGGACATAATGGTAGACACATAGAGGAAAGACCAGTCTGCATCTCTACCTGTTGACAAAAATATAGACACCATTTAACTTCTAACACTGTCATTTTATTACACACGGCACTGGGTAAACACTACACATGTATTGGACATAATTCTTGTATCGACTGCTTTCACCAGAGCAAGCTAAGATTTCATCTTGACACCCATGAGATGTCTCAAGGCCCATTTCATGAGACAAGACAAGAGAGAGATTGCAGTGGAGAGGAACCTTGCACTGTCAGGGAATGCAAAAAGTCACTGTTCACTTGGGCAGTATCAAGTTGATTATATTCCAGTTTCTCCTATTTAAGAGTCAACACCACAACTTGACTACATTAGGTACTGTTCCTGTTTGATCCAGAGTGCATCCAAAACAACAAACATTATTATACGTATATCTCTCAAATTCCCACTTCTGATTTCCAGTTTTATTTTCCATGAAAAAACCTCTATATTGTTAGGACTAGGCATATTTCCAGGGCTTTACTCAACAATGACTTGGATGTACAATATGACACCTCTCTCTACATCATTTGTAATCAGGAATAAAACCTTAATGCAGCTTTTCAATCTTACTTTAATCTCCATGTAGATGTACAGTTAGCTCTTTCATCAGTAATACAATACAGATTTCCTATCTGTAAAGTCTGTAGTCCCTGGAATCAAGCAAGAGGCTAGTTTGATTAGCCATATCCTACAACCATATCCTTAAAACCTTCCACAGAATATAGGATAATGATTTTAAAACAGCAAACTCTTTGGTTTTCTTTGGTATTTCTGAGACAAAGGGCCCTATTCAATCTGCATCGCGGAAGTTCAGCTTTACAGCATGATTGACTGCATTCACGGTAAACGCTGCATATGTCGGCTCAATCGGAAATTACCTTAAAATGTATAGCGCGGAATCTGTAACGCTTCAGAGTTATAGATTGAATAGACCCCCAAGTCATAAGAGGACCAACACAGTATTGGCTGAGGGCAATCAGGACCCACTGGGTATAAAATATACAAACATAATCTTAGTAGAAAAAAAACATTATCTCTCATGAGTTGCTGGGAAGAAAAGGGTATGTGTTGGAGTGTTGGCGTGTGCAGGATCTATTCTATTGTCATAAAACTAATATACTTACCATTCAAAATGCTAGCATATGGATCATACTTAGCATAATAGCCCCAGAATTTCTAAGTCTGGGAATTAAATTACATTTTGAAGAACTACTGCTATACAGGAAGAGAGGTTGGAACTGATAACATAGAAATTTAATTTTCACATTGGAAGAGAAATGCAAATATCTAAACTAAAATCTACACAAAATAAGATGGATTAATAGAATTTCTGTTGCGAGGAGAGACAATCCAGGCCTGGAGTAAAGCAGAGGCCTTCAGTTCACATACAGTACAAGAGAATGACCGAGATCAGGTAAAGGCATTGAGAGTTTGAATGATCTCTTCCAGTCTATCTGTTAGTAACGATCTGAAATCAGTTTACAGCAAAAAATATATAAAATTACAGAAAGATTAAAGACAAGAGCAAGAGCTCTCCTTTCACATGTTTGAGTTAGATGGAGGATGTGTCGATTTTTTGGTCTGTCTACAACGTGCCTACAAGTCATGGACAAACACTGTGCAGACTTTCGTTTCAGCCCAGCACTATTCAACTCTTCAACTAAACATAAAAATCTTGATTAGCTGAATCATGTGTGCTAATGCTGGGCTATGGAACAAAATGTTTGTAGCAGTAGCTAGGTTTCCATCCAATTAGCGACTGATTTTCATGCGAATATTCTAGAATTCACATAAAGAAAATGTGCATAAAAGTCAGTGCCTGATAAAGTAGTGCACACAAAAAGTTTTCATGTACCGAATAAAACTCAAAACTTCAATGTGTTTCCATCGCATTTTCAACTCTACCAATAGTTTTGTCACAAAAACAGTTGCGTTAAATAGCAAATGTGCCTACTCTGGTCTTGGCAGATGCGCTCTAGCCAACCGCTCGCAGTTACTGTGCAGGGTAGGCTAGTCTACATGATACGATTATTATGGATAAGAGCGAGAATATTTGTATTTGTCAAATGGCAGTCAAGCGTCGATCATCATGTCACCATTTCTCGCATAATTAATTTCACCGGCACAAAAAGATCCCACCATATCGGAATTGTTCGTCTTTTTAACGAAACGTCCTATTTCCATCACAGCTGTCATGATTTTTGTTTATACGGTATGACTTCACTCGCATAAAAACTGTGGATGGAAATGTGGTTAGTGTTGACACATTTCCATTGGTTTGTAGCCAAGTCCCCTTCTCCCAGTCCTAGCCATCTACACTGCAGTACACACCCTCCACACGAACTGTGCACGCTGAGAGAAACTATTAGCACTAAAACTGGAAGACTTTAACCTTGCCAAGGACAAACTAGGGTTCTGCTCAGATCTGAGCGACCATTTTCCTATTACTCTGCTGTCTTATCTACAGAAACACTAAAATTCTATTAAATGGAGCCATTTTCTCATTTGCCTGCGAGGTCATTTTCATGCATGGCGAGATCCATTCATTGTGCTGCTGAGCCTCTGGAGACACAGGGGGTTCTGCTGTAATAAGAGACAGCTCACTGAGGGTCCAAAGGAACAGTCCAGAGAGAGAAGCCGGTCAGAACCATCGCTGGAGCACAGCTATCATACACTATACACATCTGCATAGCAATGGATCGTAACAAGGGAGATATCCATAGTCCACCTTAGCAAACCGACAGGCAACACAGAAGAGAGGTGAGCAGGACAAGCCAAAGAGTAGTCCCTGTCCTTTGATTGGTCAATTCCAATGGATTGTCCACAACATTGACCAATGTCAGCACTTGACCTTGGTCAAAGCCAATGATATGTCCTTACATGACCAAGGGCAACTCTCAATATGTCCTCAATATTGGCCAATGATCCTGCCCCTCCACTACCCTCTCTATTGAGCCTGGGCTGTATGTGTGTGTGTGTGAGATATACATATCACCCACTGCAGTTTGGGAGACTCAGGAGGAGAAACAGAGGCCGCAGCACTCCATACAGATCTCCAGGCAGTCTGCAGACTCACAGCACGCGTCTATGATCCCACAGTCCATGTCACATGGCAGTTCACAGTCGCCACACTCCTCCGAGGCGCAGCAGCAGCAGAAACACGCAGAGTCGTCCCCCGCACACGAACCGCAGGTGGCACAGTCCAACACGATGTTACACAGAGTCAGGAACTCACAGAACAGACAGGCCAGGATACAGTGAACACAACAGTCTGAGGGGGAGGAGAGACGGGGGAGTTATTCATCTTTATTTGTCCTGTTAAGTTGGTTGAGAATGCATACTGTTTGGAAAAGAGGGAGCTACGGAAAGAGAAAGACAGAAAGGTTGAGTGAAGATGAAGGAGAGGATGGGGCAGACGGGAGAGGGGATTGAGAATAATAGGAGATGAGAGGAGACACAGGAGGAGGGAGGAAGTATAGGATACCCTGAGATAGACTGGAGTAAGTAGCAACTCACCATCCTGTACCTCTGTAGGTATCTGGGAGCTGTTGCTCTTGGAGGAGCTCTTGCTCCTCTGAGAGGTGATGGAGGGGTTGGACTGGAGCTTCTTGGAGTTCTTCATCCCTGACGAGGAAGACGAGGAGGAGGAAGAGGCTGCCCTAGGGAGGGAGCCAGGGGCCGGCCGATCATAGGTGCCTCCGTTCCTCACTCTGTTGGTGTGAGGGGCGTGCGTGCAGTTGGAGCCGTGTGTGTGGGGCTTGGCTCCGTCGCGTGGCTGGCTGGTGGGTTGTGTTAGGCAGGGTTGGGTGGGGTCTATGTGGGTGGATCGAGCCTGGGGCTGACCTGAGGAAAGGAACAAAGAAAGAAAATAAAAACAGTTACAATAGTTGCTATCGTTGTAACCGTGGGACACATGGGAAACGTAGTCATTGATACAGCAGGCCCCAATGGCTCCTGGGAAGGGCCATGTGTATTAAGATGACTTCTGACCCTGCTCGAGATGCTTACACAACAACCCACAGACAGACACTCTCCTCTCGTGTCTCGTCCTCCTCTCTTCTCAACCTGTCCTCCCCTCTCACTGCCATGGATAAACAGGAACAAGTTGGTGGGAGAAACTTGTCTTGGACACAACATCATTACAGATAATCCCCATAATAAATAGACTTAACTCAATCCAGTCTGGCCAGGTCAAATTCACAGAACATTAAGAATCTATTAAAATAATTTACCAAGGACAATTGGTACTTCATGGTCTACCACCGCCAGACTGGGATGCATACAGTGGGGAAAAAAGTATTTAGTCAGCCACCAATTGTGCAAGTTCTCCCAATTAAAAAGATGAGAGAGGCCTGTAATTTTCATCATAGGTACACGTCAACTATGACAGACAAAATGAAAAAAAAAAATCCAGAAAATCACATTGTAGGATTTTTAATGAATTTATTTGCAAATTATGGTGGAAAATAAGTATTTGGTCACCTACAAACAAGCAAGATTTCTGCCTCTCACAGACCTGTAACTTCTTCTTTAAGAGGCTCCTCTGTCCTCCACTCGTTACCTGTATTAATGGCACCTGTTTGAACTTGTTATCAGTATAAAAGACACCTGTCCACAACCTCAAACAGTCACACTCCAAACTCCACTATGGCCAAGACCAAAGAGCTGTCAAAGGACACCAGAAACAAAATTGTAGACCTGCACCAGGCTGGGAAGACTGAATCTGCAATAGGTAAGCAGCTTGGTTTGAAGAAATCAACTGTGGGAGCAATTATTAGGAAATGGAAGACATACAAGACCACTGATAATCTCCCTCGATCTGGGGCTCCACGCAAGATCTCACCCCGTGGGGTCAAAATGATCACAAGAACGGTGAGCAAAAATCCCAGAACCACACGGGGGGACCTAGTGAATGACCTGCAGAGAGCTGGGACCAAAGTAACAAAGCCTACCATCAGTAACACACTACGCCGCCAGGGACTCAAATCCTGCAGTGCCAGACGTGTCCCCCTGCTTAAGCCAGTACATGTCCAGGCCCGTCTGAAGTTTGCTAGAGTGCATTTGGATGATCCAGAAGAGGATTGGGAGAATGTCATATGGTCAGATGAAACCAAAATATAACTTTTTGGTAAAAACTCAACTCGTCGTGTTTGGAGGACAAAGAATGCTGAGTTGCATCCAAAGAACACCATACCTACTGTGAAGCATGGGGGTGGAAACATCATGCTTTGGGGCTGTTTTTCTGCAAAGGGACCAGGACGACTGATCCGTGTAAAGGAAAGAATGAATGGGGCCATGTATCGTGAGATTTTGAGTGAAAACCTCCTTCCATCAGCAAGGGCATTGAAGATGAAACGTGGCTGGGTCTTTCAGCATGACAATGATCCCAAACACACCGCCCGGGCAACGAAGGAGTGGCTTCGTAAGAAGCATTTCAAGGTCCTGGAGTGGCCTAGCCAGTCTCCAGATCTCAACCCCATAGAAAATCTTTGGAGGGAGTTGAAAGTCCGTGTTGCCCAGCGACAGCCCCAAAACATCACTGCTCTAGAGGAGATCTGCATGGAGGAATTGGCCAAAATACCAGCAACAGTGTGTGAAAACCTTGTGAAAACTTACAGAAAACTTTTGACCTGTGTCATTGCCAACAAAGGGTATATAACAAAGTATTGAGAAACTTTTGTTATTGACCAAATACTTATTTTCCACCACAATTTGCAAATAAAATCATTAAAATCCTACAATGTGATTTTCTGGATTTTTTTTCTCATTTTGTCTGTCATAGTTGACGTGTACCTATGATGAAAATTACAGGCCTCTCTCATCTTTTTAAGTGGGAGAACTTGCACAATTGGTGGCTGACTAAATACTTTTTTCCCCCACTGTATATGGTTGCAAGTTTTAGGGTTTTGATTTATGTGGACAGAGGGGCTGAAATGGCCTGGTTCTCACTCCTCACAGTCTCAAATGTAGGCTACAGACACGCACATTTACACACAACCACGCGCACACACACACACAAACACAAACACACACACACACAGCCTCACCTTTCCCGCTGCCCAGCCAGCACTATTCCAACTCTTCATAAATAAAAATCGGATTAGCTGAATCATGTGTGCTAATGCTGGGCAGGGATATGGAACAAAATGTTTGTACAGTAGCTGGTTTCCATTCAATAGCGACTGATTTTCTCGATTACTCTAGAATTCACATAAAGGAAAATGTGCATATTAAAAGTCAGTGCCTGATTAAAGTAGTGCACACCAAAAAGTTTTCATTTTGGTACCGAATAAAACCAAAACTTCAAATGTGGTTTCCATCGCATTTTCAACTCTACCATAGTTTTTGTCACAAAAAAGTGGCGGTAAATAGCACATGTGCCTACTCTGGTTCTTGGCAGATGCGCGCTAGCCAAAATCCGCTCGCAGTTACTGTGCAGGGTAGGCTCGTCTACCTGATACGATATTATTACTGGATAAGAGCGAGAAGATTTGTATTGTCAAATGCAGTCAAGCGCGTCGTGTCTATCCTATGTACAATTCTCGCATAATTAATGTCCACCGGCACAAAAAGAATCCACCCCAGATCGGAATTGTTCGTCTTTTTAACGAAAACGTGTCTATTTCATCAAGCGTCATGGATTTTTGTTTATACGTATGACTTCACTCGCATAAAAACTGTGGATGGAAAATGTGGTTAGTGTTGGACACATTTCATGGTTTTGTAGCCAAGTCCCCTTCTCCCAGTCCTAGCCATCTACACTGCAGTACACACCCTCCACACGAAAACTGTGCACGTTGAGAGAAAGAGAGAAATGATTAGCACTAAAAATGGAAGGATTTAACATTGCCAAAGGACAAACTAGGGTTCTGCTCCAGATCTGAGCGACCATTTTCCTATTACTCTTGCTGTCTTATATAAAGAAACACTAAAATTCTATTAAATGGACCATTTTCTCATTTGATCTGCGAGGTCATTTTAGCATTGGCGAGATCCATTCCAGGTGCTGCTGCGGCCTCTGGAGACCACAGGGGGTGCTGCCTGCTAAATAAGAGACAGCTCCAATGAGGGTCCAAAGGAACAGTCCAGAGAGATAAGCGGTCAGAACCATGTGGAGCACAGCTATCATACACTATCACATCTTGGCATAGCAATGGAGTACAAGGGAGATATCCATAGTCCACCTTAGCAAACCGCAGCAACACAGAAGAGAGGTGAGCAGGCAAGCCAAAGAGGAGTCCCTGTTCCTTTGATTGGTCAATTCCAATGGATTGTCACAACATTGACCAATGTCAGCCCACGTGACCTTGGGTCAAAGCCAAGTGATATGACTTACATGACGACAAGGCACTATCAATATGTCCTTCAATATTGGCCAATGATTCCTGCCCCTCCAATACATCTCTATTGAGCCTTTGGCTGTATGGGTGGTGTGTGATGAGATATACATATCACCCACTGCAGTTGGGGGAGACTCAGGAGGAAGAAACAGAGGCCGCCAGCACATCCATACAGATCTCCAGGCAGTCTGCAGATCACAGCCCCGCGTCTATGATCCCACCAGTTCCATGTTCCACATGGCAGTTCACAGTCGCCACACTCCTCCGGCGCGCAGCGAAGCAGAAACACGCAGAGTCGTCCCCCGCCACACGAACCGCAGGTGGCAACAGTCCAACACGATGTTAAACAGAGTCAGGAACTCACAGAAAGACAGGCCAGGATTACAGTGAACACAACAGTCTGAGGGGGAGGAGAGACGGGGGCGTTATTACTTATTTGTCCTGTTAAGTTGGTTGAGAAATGACATTACTGTTTTGGAAAGAGGGGAGTACGAAAGAGAAAGACAGAAAGGTTGAGTGAAGATGAAGGAGAGGATGGGCAGACGGGAGAGGGGATTGAGAATAATAGGAGATGAGAGGGAGACACAGGAGGAGGGTAGGAAGTATAGGATACCCTGAGATAGACTGGGAAGTAAGTAGCAACTCACCATCCTGTACCTCTGTAGGTATCTGGGAGCTGTTGCCTCTTTGGAGGAGCTCTTGCTCCTCTGAGAGGTGATGGAGGGGTTGGACTGGAGCTTCTTGGAGTTCTTCATCCCTGACGAGGAAGACGAGGAGGAGGAAGAGGCTGCCCTAGGGAGGGAGCCAGGGGCCGGCCGATCATAGGTGCCTCCGTTCCTCACTCTGTTGGTGTGAGGGGCGTGCGTGCAGTTGGAGCCGTTGTTGTGTGGGGCTTGGCTCCGTCGCGTGGCTGGCTGGTGTGGTTGTGTTAGGCAGGGTTGGGTGGGGTCTATGTGGGTGGAATCGAGCCTGGGGCTGACCTGAGGAAAGGAACAAAGAAAGAAAATAAAAACAGTTACATAGTTGCTATCGTTGTAAACCGTGGGACACATGGGAAACGTAGTTCATTGATACCAGCAGGCCCCAATGGCTCCTGGGAAGGGCCATGTGTATTAAGATGACTTCTGACCCGCTCGAGATGCTTACACAACAACCCACAGACAGACACTCTCCTCTCGTGTCTCGTCCTCCTCTCTTCTCACCTGTCCTCCCCTCTCACTGCCATGGATAAACAGGAACAAGTTGGTGGGGAGAAACTTGTCTTGGACACAACATCATTACAGATAATCCCCATAATAAATAGACTTAACTCAATCCAGTCTGGCCAGGTCAAATTCACAGAACATAAGAATCTATTAAAATAATTTACCAAGGACAATTGGTACTTCATGGTCTACCACCGCCAGACTGGGATGCATACAGTGGGGAAAAAGTATTTAGTCAGCCACCAATTGTGCAAGTTCTCCCACTTAAAAAGATGAGAGAGGCCTGTAATTTTCATCATAGGTACACGTCAACTATGACAGACAAAATGAAAAAAAAAAATCCAGAAAATCACATTGTAGGATTTTTAATGAATTTATTTGCAAATTATGGTGGAAAATAAGTATTTGGTCACCTACAAACAAGCAAGATTTCTGCCTCTCACAGACCTGTAACTTCTTCTTTAAGAGGCTCCTCTGTCCTCCACTCGTTACCTGTATTAATGGCACCTGTTTGAACTTGTTATCAGTATAAAAGACACCTGTCCACAACCTCAAACAGTCACACTCCAAACTCCACTATGGCCAAGACCAAAGAGCTGTCAAAGGACACCAGAAACAAAATTGTAGACCTGCACCAGGCTGGGAAGACTGAATCTGCAATAGGTAAGCAGCTTGGTTTGAAGAAATCAACTGTGGGAGCAATTATTAGGAAATGGAAGACATACAAGACCACTGATAATCTCCCTCGATCTGGGGCTCCACGCAAGATCTCACCCCGTGGGGTCAAAATGATCACAAGAACGGTGAGCAAAATCCCAGAACCACACGGGGGGACCTAGTGAATGACCTGCAGAGAGCTGGGACCAAAGTAACAAAGCCTACCATCAGTAACACACTACGCCGCCAGGGACTCAAATCCTGCAGTGCCAGACGTGTCCCCCTGCTTAAGCCAGTACATGTCCAGGCCCGTCTGAAGTTTGCTAGAGTGCATTTGGATGATCCAGAAGAGGATTGGGAGAATGTCATATGGTCAGATGAAACCAAAATATAACTTTTTGGTAAAAACTCAACTCGTCGTGTTTGGAGGACAAAGAATGCTGAGTTGCATCCAAAGAACACCATACCTACTGTGAAGCATGGGGGTGGAAACATCATGCTTTGGGGCTGTTTTTCTGCAAAGGGACCAGGACGACTGATCCGTGTAAAGGAAAGAATGAATGGGGCCATGTATCGTGAGATTTTGAGTGAAAACCTCCTTCCATCAGCAAGGGCATTGAAGATGAAACGTGGCTGGGTCTTTCAGCATGACAATGATCCCAAACACACCGCCCGGGCAACGAAGGAGTGGCTTCGTAAGAAGCATTTCAAGGTCCTGGAGTGGCCTAGCCAGTCTCCAGATCTCAACCCCATAGAAAATCTTTGGAGGGAGTTGAAAGTCCGTGTTGCCCAGCGACAGCCCCAAAACATCACTGCTCTAGAGGAGATCTGCATGGAGGAATTGGCCAAAATACCAGCAACAGTGTGTGAAAACCTTGTGAAAACTTACAGAAAACTTTTGACCTGTGTCATTGCCAACAAAGGGTATATAACAAAGTATTGAGAAACTTTTGTTATTGACCAAATACTTATTTTCCACCACAATTTGCAAATAAAATCATTAAAAATCCTACAATGTGATTTTCTGGATTTTTTTTCTCATTTTGTCTGTCATAGTTGACGTGTACCTATGATGAAAATTACAGGCCTCTCTCATCTTTTTAAGTGGGAGAACTTGCACAATTGGTGGCTGACTAAATACTTTTTTCCCCCACTGTATATGGTTGCAAGTTTTAGGGTTTTGATTTATGTGGACAGAGGGGCTGAAATGGCCTGGTTCTCACTCCTCACAGTCTCAAATGTAGGCTACAGACACGCACATTTACACACAACCACGCGCACACACACACACAAACACAAACACACACACACACAGCCTCAGCCCTGTCCTGGTGTGTTTACAGCCTACAAACCCTCTACTGTTCCTCCTTGAACTCAGACCAGGGTTGATCTTGGCTGTCCAACATGCATCTCTCCGTATATTTTACTCTGAGCAGTGCCACCAATACTAATTACCCTGAGGTTTGAAAGCACACCTCCTCTGTCAAAACAAACACCTTGAAAAAGATATGATATATTATGATACTATTTAATACCATCCTTTCGAGGCCCTAAATATTTTCTTGACCTGAACACACAGATGGAGAGAGGTGTGACTTCACAGGTTAGAAAACCACTGCCGGATGTCCAGAGAGAAGCACACACGTATGCACACACACACACACACACACACACACACACACACACACACACACACACAGACACACACACAGACACACACACAGACACCGGGGGCTGAGATGCAGTGAAGCCTAGCGGGCAGTAAAACAGTCCGTTAGACAATCATTCAGAGACAGATAACACTGCTAGGGCTGTTTTGATTGGCCCACGGCCGGGGTCACACAACCAATCGAGTGTGATTAAAGTTTCTTTCATTCAGCGTTTTCTAACCCCACTCCAGATGTCTGGCAACCCACAGGGTAGTGTGTGTGTGTGTGTGTGTGTGGGGAAAAATATTGTGTCTTCTGAAGTATCTCATAAAGTCAATACCTGCTGCTCAGCTGGTATATCTCCTTCTTTCTCTCTCCCCCCTAAGGGGGCGAGTGGCGGGTGAAAAGCTCCCCCTTCCTCTCTTTGTCTCTGCCCCCCTCCTCTCTTGTCTCTCCCCACCTCTCTATTTTGTCTCACCTCTCTCTTTGTCTCTCCCCCTCTCTCTTTGTCTCTCCCCCTCTAGGGGGGAGAGAAAAAGAGCGAGGGTGGAGAGAAAAGAAGAGAAAGGGAGAGAGAAAAGAAAAGAGTAGAGGAATAAGGAGAGAGTGGAGAGACGAAACAAGAGAGGAGCGAGAAAAAGGAGCAGAGAGAAAAAGCGAAGAAAGACGAAAACGGGAGAGAGAGCGCAAAACAGAGAAGAGAAAAAGAGAGGATGGGAGAGAGCAAAAGAGAGAGGGGAGAGCAAAAAGAGGGGCGGAGAGAAAAAGAAGAGAGGGAGAGAGAACAAGAGAGAGAGGGGAGAGAGAAAAAGAGAAAGGGAGAGGACAAAAGGAAGAGACGAGAAGGAGAGGAAAAAGGAGGAGGGAGAGAGAAAAAAGAGAGGTGGAGAGAGAAAACAGAGAGAAGTTGGGGATCGAAGGGAGAGAGAAAAAGAGCATAGTGCGATCGTCACCATCGAGTACGCGGATCGCGAAAAAGAGGAGGTATATGCGCAAGGGAGCGATGAAACAGAGCGACTAGTGGGCGATACGGTAGAGGAGCCCCCTCTCTCGTTGTCTCTACCATCTCTTTTCTCCTCACCCCTCTCTCTTTCTATCCCACCCCCCACTCTCTATTGTCTCACCCCCCTCTCTCTTGCTCCCCTCTCTCTTCATCGGTCTTTACTTTAACCATTCTCACATTTTCAAAGACAGTCAATGTGTGTAGTACATTACAGCATAAGGGTTTGGTTCTGTCGAGAGGAGGAGAAGAGAGAGCGAGGGATGGTGGGTAGATGTTCTCCATATGATTGGTAAGGAAGAACAGTCAGACCCATCCAAACCCTGGACCCCAGAGAGAGAGGATCTACCCTAAAAACCCTGTCTCAGCTTTTCACATCACTAGAAAACATGCACACACACATGCACACACATACACGCATGCATGCACACACACACACACACACACACACACACACAGAGACATAATTGCAGCCACCAACCCTAATCAGAGTCAGTTTTAGTGAAACCACACAGAGCGATGCCTTTACCCCACATCTCTCTGCTAGTCATTCTCTATGTGGCATAGTGAAATTAAGTCCATGTCTGGTTAACAGTACATTCCTATGGTTGGTAAAGACAACATCAGCAGGAATACAATATTGTTTGTTTAGTAAATGCCATTGGAGTCTTTAAAAAAGGACTGCTGGAAATGGAGCGAGGGGTAACTTCCTTCTAACTGGACAGAGAGAGTTAAAATGGTGTCTGGATATTATTTCGAGTGGTATGAGAGTTCATTCACCCCTCTCCCCCTGCGTGTGGGTGTCGGTGGGGGTGGTTGTGTGTGTGTGCAGTAAACAGGCGGGTCTCTTGGGCATCTAGCAGCCAGACAGACAGACTGACTAGGTTTCAGAGGAGTCATGACTGTCTCCATACAAAGCCTGAGGACAAACAACAAGGCTGGCACACACACACACACACACACACACACACACACACACACTCGAACGCACAGGCACAGAGAGAGAAAGAGCTCTTTGTGCAACACAGACTGCGATAGAGTGTGTGTGTGTGTGTGTGTGTGTGTGTTTGTGAGATAGAGAAACAGACGTCAGTGTGTGTGTGAAAGATCCGTTCTGCAGATATACACCCATAAGCTTTGGCTGTCTTGTCTATTTTGGGTCAGGAGCGATGTATGGGCAGGCCACACATAAACACAAGGATTCAGCAGCACATAGTTACACATAAGAACAAATAAAAGCCTAATGACTGTGGGCTTAACATGATGAGACTGGCCCACCACAGACTGAAGGAGAGGAGGGGAGAAACACAGAGAGGGAAGGAGGGGGAGAGTCTGTGCAATAGTGTAGCCTTGGCCTGAGAATGCAAGAATATGTGCAAAAGACAGACAGACAGAGAGAGAGAGCGAGAGAGAGAGAGAGAGAGGCCCAGCGTAGGCCCAGCCTGTTGCCTGCAGCAATAGGGGTGTGGTATGTCTGGCTTGAGAGAGTGTGAATCACAGTCGGCTGACTGCTCACCTCTACCTCCCCTCAGCATCCCCTCACCCTTCCCTCTCTCCCCAAATCCCTCCATCCACTCACCTCCCATTACCCTCTAGACAGCCAACCTCCCTCCTCCTCACCTCCTCCCCCCTCTCTCTCTCCAAATCCCTCTCCTCCCACCACCTCCCCTTTGTTTACCCCGCTCCCACCACTCTAGACTTGAGGCTATGATTACTACTGATCACTGCACCTCTCTACCTTTCCAACCTCCCTCCTCTTCTCCTACCTCTCTCTTTCCCCTTTTCCTCCCTCCCTCCCTCCCTCCCTCCCTCCCCCAGTGACTCAGCAGTCTGACCAGTAGACAGTAAACAGAGTGCTGTTTATGGCAGCTCATCTGCTCAGACCAGGCCAGCTGAACTAGGTCAGAGCTGTGTGGGACCTGCTGGACCACTGTTTTCCCTCCCTACATATAGAACAGAAACACCTGAGTGACACCCAGCACCGTTACCAGAGATCACAGCTAATCAGAACAAAGTGCTTTACATGGTAAGTACTGTCACCTTTTCCTTCCACTGTCACCTCATTCACCACCAATGGGACTTGATGAGGACTGGGAGGTGGAGGGTGTTAAAATGGATGACCCCTCAAAAACACTGTGACCTCATAAGCCCCTGGCTGCTTCAGCTCATTTCAATAACAATCCACAGGGATGGGGAATCTAATCTCAGAATAGCAGAGTGTGGTATTTCTAAAGGGTGGTATTCCAATGGAAGTGTATCTTATTTCCCTATGCAGAGTGGGTAATGGGGGCTGAGGGAGGCAGGATTAACACTGATGTAGGATAAAAGCTCTACTTAACTGGGAGAATGGGGTGGAAATAGGGAGAGAAGGAAGGAGGAGAGAGGAAAGGGGAAAGATAAGACAGAGGAGAGGGGGAAGGGGAAGGGAAAGAATGGGTCAGAGGTCAAGTTGGAGTTCAGTGTCACTCTTTCCAGGCTGTGTTTGTGTGTGCGTGTTTGTGTTTGTGTTTGTGTGAGAAGAAAGAGGAAGAGGAGAGATTCATCACAGACTGGTGTGTAATTAAAGGTACTGTGTCACGATCCTGTTCCATTTTACACCGGCGACACTAACCTAGTCCACATCCCGTTTAATGAGCCCATCATCATACTGACCTCACCAAGATGTCAACTCAGCCTTTCCACTTCACTGTTATGTGTGTGATTTTACGCCTTACAAAGCTAAAAACTAAAAAGTTAACTAAATATTGCTCAATTTCAGCTGTTATTAACTTGTCTGTATAGAGTGTTTTCTGACTTAAGTTGTACAAATGAGTCATGAGGACTGATGAATCCCAGTGGGTCCTTAACTCTCTGTGTTCCATTGTAGTGCCAGACAGAGAAAGTGAGTGAGAGAGGGAGTGTGAGTGAGGGGTCTGACAGAGCAGTGGTGGTGGTGGTCAGTGTAGCAGTAGGAGCAGACCTGAGGTTTGGATGAAAACAGTTCAAAACATACAAGAGTACCCCCAAAGCAGAGCTCAGTCATGAGTCAGACAGCTTTTCACCCAGTCACCAACCCCCCAAAACACACCCCCTCTCCCCCATCTCTCTCTAGCATCCTTCTCTTACTCAGAACAGACACATTACTAACCCAGGTTATTTTAAGACTCCCAGAAAAATAGGAGAGCCCAAAAGAGAGATCGATCATGAGTCAGAAGTGTAAGCAACACTCACTTACTCAGAGCTACTTACTGGCAGTCTGTATAGGACTGTGCCATAGGCTTAGGCCACTGACAGTGACAATGACGTATGAGCTTTAATGATGCTGTATTGAATCAATGTGCTAGAGACACAGAAACACACTACTCAACTACTAAAGAGACCAGCATACACACACACACACACACACACACACGCAGGCACAGCACACACAAACACGTGCACGCACCTACGCACTCGTGCACGCACACACACGCCACATTAACACACACCTGTTAACAGCTCTCTCTGCACATTAGTCTCAGACAGCTTGTCAGAGGCCTAGCGCCAGATACATGCTACACCCATGATGTCATCACTGCGAGACAGATTGCAGAATGCAATCTCGCTTCTGTTTTCCTCCACACACACGTCATTTACATGATGACATTGCCGCACGCACACACAGACCATAGACATCTAGACATCTAGTAGCAGCAGGAGCCACTAGTTCATAGTTCATATAATCAGTATACAGGCCAAACTCTCTCTCTCCCTCTCTTTATGGCTGTGGTTGTAGCAGAGTAAGAGGATCTATAAAGTTAGTCACAGTGTTGCTGATGATACAATAGTGTTCAACTTTACGACTTCCAGACTCACACACACGCACGCACGCACGCACAAACACACACATGAACACAGTCACACACACACATGAACACAGTCACACACACACATGAACACAGTCACACACACACATGAACACACAATACGAGCCCCCAGAATGACACACACAAGCTATCTGCATCAGCAGAGAAAACCAGATGTAACAGAGATGACGTTGCTTGTAGATGCTGATCTAAGGTCAGTTTTCTTCCCCTAATGGTTAAGGTTAGGCTTGGGGAAGGGAAAGCTGATCCTAGATATGTACATACAGGAAACTAACTAGAGTGGGGGGAGGGTTTGAAAGGAGGTGTAGAGGATGGAAAGAAGGATGAAGGGGGATGGTATAGGAGGGAGGAATGGAGGAGGGAGGTTAGGGGGATGGAGGATAGAGGTGACTAGGGATGGGGAGGTAAGGGGAGATGGAAGCAGGGAGGTTATAGGGGATGGGGGAGGTATAGTGGAATGGAGGGAGGTTTAGGGGGATGAGGGAGGTATAGAGGGAGGGAGGGAGGTATAGGGGGATGGAGATGAGTATAGGGGGGAGAGGGAGGTATAGGGGAATGGAACAGGGGAGTCTAGGGATGGAGGGAGGTATAGGGGGATGGAGAGGGAGGTATAGGGTATAAGGGGGGGGGGTATGGGGGAGGGAGGTATAGGGGAGGTATAGGGGTGGTATAGGGGGATGGAAGGGAGGAGATATAGTGGAATGGAGGGAGGTATAGGGAGATGAGGGAGGTATAGGGGGATGGACGGAGGGAGGTATAGGGGGATGTAGGGAGGGAGATATAGGGGGATGGAGGGAGGGAGATATAGGGGGATGGAAGGACGGAGGTATAGGGGGAGGTATAGGGGGATGGAAGGAGGGAGATATAGGGGGAGGTATAGGGGGATGGAAGGAGGGAGATATAGGGGGAGGTATAGGGGGATGGAAGGAGGGAGGTTTAGCGGGATGGAGGGAGGTTGTGAGATGGGGCTTTGTCCATAGTTGCGTAACTCTTGCAGCAGCAGCACAGGGTATGGAGCTGGTTTTATGGAGGACATAAAATAAAAGAGAGAAGAATGTCGGATACACACACACACACACACACACACACACACACACACTACAATCCCACAGAAACCTGTTTCATAAATATTTCAACATTACCTGGCCCAATTCCCCCATAACCCTAAACCCAGTCCCTCTCCTAGTATTACCCAATCTCTCTCTCTGACACAGCCTCTCAAACACACCATCATTACAGCTCCTGGAATTACTTTGCGGTAACTCAGTAACCGTCAGGAAGTGGCTCACGTTGCTTTTCCCTTACGCACTGAGATGGAGCAGAGGACCCCTGGCCGGACTACAGTGGGATTATGTGTGTGTGGTTAGGGATTTAGGGGGGAGACAGGAATGTATGTGTGTGTCAGTATGTTTGTGTACAGTATGTGTATGTTGTTGATGCCAGGGCTGCTTTTCCAGCAGGAAGTGAAGGCAGTACTGTATTGGGGACCATATGGTGTCAAGGGGTCAGTGAAGAACATTTGTTCAGCTCTGTGATCCACCTTTACCGGTTGGACTTCTTGTGATCCATCAATGAAACAAACCAGTGTTTCTTGCCAGAACCAGGCCTTGAATTGTGACCCCCATAATCCAAAAGGTCTGACAATAAACTGTAAGCCCAGGTAATGGTCTATATTTCACATTAACTATGACGATAATTCTGTTTCATACATCATAAAGATGCCCAAGAGAATAAGGGGGAGAGACGGACATGGCCAAAAACTATACAGCCAGAGTCACCTAGATACAGTAGTCATAGCAACTCCCAACAATCACAGTTACCACCAAACAGAGAGAAAATAGTCAAATGGAGGAGAGGAGAGGTGTTTCATTTGGCCGTAGCATGTGACGTGGTGCGTGTAGACGTGTGCTTTAGCAATTCGGAAACTATCCCACTTAATTCCCTCTGTTGACAATTCAATTCAGAGGCGTGAGTGTGTATCTGACCTATTTCTGTTCATTCAGGGTCAAGACAGTGTGACTCACAACACCGAGGCTCAGTAATGGAAACCAAACATTCAGAGCCATTTATGGTGTGTGTGTGTGAAACAGTGTGTACGCATGTGCCTATGTGCGGACATACGTGTGTGTGTGTGTGTATGTGTGAGTGTGTACTCATGTGTATACGTGCAGACAGACGTGTGTGTGTACATTTGTGTGCGTATGCTTGTGTAGGTAGGTGGTGTGTGTGTGTGTGTGTGTGTGTGTGCATATGGTGTGTGTGTGTGACTCACAGGTAATGCTCTTGCTAGGTGTCGTCAGGTCCGGCTGTGAGAGACTGTTGTTGTTGTTGCCGTTCTCCGTGTCTCCTAGCAACCCATCTGGTTTGACCTTTGGCCTCTCGATGAGGGGCTCCATGCTCCTGTCCAAATCTGGAGGTAACAGAGAGAGAGCGAGGAGAGACTGAGACAGAGGGACAGGACCAATGCTCCCTCTAAGCTGCACGGGCGCGCAGCTCCCCTCAGACTGCCACACAGAAGAAATATCAGCGCGCGCAGAGAAGCACGAGATTGAACATCACTCAACTTTCTAGACTTTTCCCCGTTAGTTAACACTATCAACATTTCCCTTTACTGTGGGAATTGTGATCAAATCAATGCAATATTAGCCACTTTTAATGCAACATACCGTACATTTGTTAATATCCGTTGCTAGTTATTGAGTTATTAGCCCAGTTATAGATAATTTGTAGTCAGCAATGGGGGAGTGATTGCTTCCTACAAGAGCACAAAACGTGTGCATTTCTCGACATCTTTGAACAGCCAGTCAGTTAAATAGCTTTTTTTTGTCTTAAAGGGGGCAGTGTTGTATTTTGAGACAGGCTTGAATAAGCTAAGTAGCCAATAGGCAGAGGGTAGCATAATTAGTCTGATTCTCTGTAATAACGGTATGGGAATAATAATGCATTTTATTTTGTAAAGTGGTTTCTTGTGTCAAACCATCAAACAACACAACAACATTTTCAGTCACCTCCTTGTCTGAAGGACAAGTGGATAAACAGGTTAATGTCAAGCCCTGCATGTTTTTTTTAAAAGTCTCATGGAATGTAGGCCTACATTGAACACCACACATTGGCTGCTACTGTAGGTTGAACGATGGAACAGCTATTTCCATGTTAAAATGTTATGGGATGCATTTTCTCCATTGTTTTTGATGGTAGGCCACTCTGGTAGGCCTACATTATGATCAAATAGCCACAGTAGCCTACTTGACCACTGTTAAAACTCATTTAAAGCGGCTACAGCCTCAGTGTTCACAGTAAACACGTGCTGGAAGTTGCACAGAATTTTCACAATGTTCGAGTTTGTGCTCAGCAGACCTGAAATTTGCTCAGTGATGAAAAACATTTGAGGGAACATTAGACAGGACACACACATTCATCTGAAGGTAACAGAGAGAGAGAGCGAGAGAAAAGAGACTGGGACAGGACACACATTCATCTGGAGGTAACAGAGAGAGAGAGCGAGAGGAGAGAAATACACATTCACAAAGCCTTTATGTAGGCTACTTAAAAAAGCTATAAACTGTTAAACTTGATGTCAAGCCCTGACCTTAGATATCCCTTTTATTCTCTATTTGGTTAGGTCAGGGTGTGATTTGGGTGGGCATTCTAGTTTTTCTATTTCTTTGTTGGCTGGGTATGGTTCCCAATCAGAGGCAGCTGTCTATCATTGTCTCTGATTGGGGACCATACTTAGGCAGCCTTTTTCCCACCTTAGTTTGTGGGATCTTGTTTTTGTATGGTTTCTTTGTAGCCTGCAGAACTTTACGTTCGTGTGTATTTTGTTGTTTTGTCTGTGTTTCATTTAATAAATTAATATGTTCGCCTACCACGCTGCACCTTGGTCCGAGCCTTCAATCAAGGAGCGTGACACTTGAATTCTTCTGAAGTTATTGAATGTCTCCTCTTCCTTCAGACAAGTTGCTGAGAACAACTGAAACAGCAATATTTTATCACTGTAGCTGCTTTGTTTTGTCTTTGATAGAGTTGCCAATGTACTCTAAGACTACCACATAACACACATACACATGGACCGAAAACACACACACATACACTCCCTTTCATATTGTAGTTTCCACTAACAGAACATATCCCTTCTGCCAATGAACGTCTACTTCTAGTCATTTCCAACCTACAAGCCTTTCACTGGATGGAACACAGACTGTAGAATTACTCAGCTGGCTCAAAGAGAGAGTGAGTGAGAGCATAATTGTGTGAGGGAGTGTATGAGTGTGTGTGATGTTTGTGTGTGTGTGTGCATCTGGAGACAGTAAAATCCAACCCCTTGTGACTGTTTAGGGGTGTATGTGTATGCCTGTGAAACCTTCAGTGTGTTTGTGTATGTGAGAACATATATACAGTGAGGGAAAAAAGTATTTCATCCCCTGCTGATTTTGTACGTTTGCCCACTGACAAAGAAATGATCAGTCTATAATTTTAATGGTAGGTTTATTTGAACAGTGAGAGACAGAATAACAACATCAAAATCCAGAAAAACGCATGTCAAAAATGTTATAAATTGATTTGCATTTTAATGAGGGAAATAAGTATTTGACCCCCTCTCAATCAGAAAGATTTCTGGCTCCCGGGTGTCTTTTTATACAGGTAACGAGCTGAGATTAGGAGCATACTCTTAAAGGGAGTGCTCCTAATCTCAGTTTGTTACCTGTATAAAAGACACCTGTCCACAGAAGCAATCAATCAATCAGATTCCAAACTCTCCACCATGGCCAAGACCAAAAAGCTCTCCAAGGATGTCAGGGACAAGATTGTAGACCTACACAAGGCTGGAATGGGCTACAAGACCATCACCAAGCAGCTTGGTGAGAAGGTGACAACAGTTGGTGCGATTATTCGCAAATGGAAGAAACACAAAATAACTGTCAATCTCCCTCGGCCTGGGGCTCCATGCAAGATCTCACCTCGTGGAGTTGCAATGATCATGAGAACGGTGAGGAATCAGCCCAGAACTACACGGGAGGATCTTATCAATGATCTCAAGGCAGCTGGGACCATAGTCACCAAGAAAACAATTGGTAACACACTACGCCGTGAAGGACTGAAATCCTGCAGCGCCCGCAAGGTCCCCCTGCTCAAGAAAGCACATATACAGGCCCGTCTGAAGTTTTCCAATGAACATCTGAATGATTCAGAGGAGAACTGGGAGAAAGTGGTGTGGTCAGATGAGACCAAAATCGAGCTCCTTTGCATCAACTGAACTCGCCGTGTTTGGAGGAGGAATGCTGCCTATGACCCCAAAAACACCATCCCCACCATCAAACATGGAGGTGGAAACATTACGCTTTGGGGGTCTTTTTCTGCTAAGGGGACAGGACAACTTCACCGCATCAAAGGGACGATGGACGGGGCCATGTACCGTCAAATCTTGGGTGAGAATCTCCTTCCCTCAGCCAGGGCATTGAAAATGGGTCGTGGATGGGTATTCCAGCATGACAATGACCCAAAACACACGGCCAAGGCAACAAAGGAGTGGCTCAAGAAGAAGCACATTAAGGTCCTGGAGTGGCCTAGCCAGTCTCCAGACCTTAATCCCATAGAACCTCTGTGGAGGGAGCTGAAGGTTCGAGTTGCCAAACATCAGCCTCGAAACCTTAATGACTTGGAGAAGATCTGCAAAGAGGAGTGGAACAAAATCCCTCCTGAGATGTGTGCAAACCTGGTGGCCAACTACAAGAAATGTCTGACCTCTGTGATTGCCAACAAGGGTTTTGCCACCAAGTACTAAGTCATGTTTTGCAGAGGGGTCAAATACTTATTTCCCTCATTAAAATGCAAATCAATTTATAACATTTTTGACATGCGTCTTTCTGGATTTTGTTGTTGTTATTCTGTCTCTCACTTAGTTAAAATAAACCTACCATTAAAATTATAGACTGATCATGTCTTTGTCAGTGGGCAAACGTACAAAATCAGCAGGGGATCAAATACTTTTTTCCCCTCACTGTACTACATTAAATGCATGTGAGTATACATGTTTTATTTGTGCCTTCTGGAGCCAGGCGGTCCATAATGAAGCTGTAATTATGCAGGGCTACACACACACACAGGTTGAGGGCCTCAGAGGTGCAGACTCATTCCTGGGCAAATGGGAGCCAGCTGGGTTTGATCTGCCATCAGAGAGAGGGGAGAGAGAGACAGACAGACAGACAGACAGACAGACAGACAGAGACACACACCTCCTGCAGAAGGCCTCAACCACCCCAGCCCTGTTTATTTACTATACTCTCTCCCCCTCTTCTCTTCTGTCTCTTCCTCCCCTCCCCTCCCTTCTGTTTCTCACTCTCTCACTCTTCTGTCCTCAACGCCTTTCCCTCTATTCCCTCCATCTTACCACTCCATCTTTCCCCTATCTTTCTTCTTCTCCCTTCCCACTCTCTCTCCCATCGTGGTCCAGTAGGTATACATTGACTTTCCTAACCAGTCAGACGCTGCCTGCTAACAGTGAACACAACACAGCAGCAGAACTGATCCAATGTAGCTCTATTCACTATTCATCACCCCCATACACTGTTAGTGCTCACATACAGTGGGGAAAAAAAGTATTTAGTCAGCCACCAATTGTGCAAGTTCTCCCACTTAAAAAGATGAGAGAGGCCTGTAATTTTCATCATAGGTACACGTCAACTATGACAGACAAATTGAGAAAAAAAATCCAGAAAATCACATTGTAGGATTTTTAATGAATTTATTTGCAAATTATGGTGGAAAATAAGTATTTGGTCACCTACAAACAAGCAAGATTTCTGCCTCTCACAGACCTGTAACTTCTTTAAGAGGCTCCTCTGTCCTCCACTCGTTACCTGTATTAATGGCACCTGTTTGAACTTGTTATCAGTATAAAAGACACCTGTCCACAACCTCAGTCACACTCCAAACTCCACTATGGCCAAGACCAAAGAGCTGTCAAAGGACACCAGAAACAAAATTGTAGACCTGCACCAAGCTGGGAAGACTGAATCTGCAATAGGTAAGCAGCTTGGTTTGAAGAAATCAACTGTGGGAGCAATTATTAGGAAATGGAAGACATACAAGACCACTGATAATCTCCCTCGATCTGGGGCTCCACGCAAGATCTCACCCCGTGGGGTCAAAATGATCACAAGAACGGTGAGCAAAAATCCCAGAACCACACAGGGGGACCTAGTGAATGACCTGCAGAGAGCAGGGACCAAAGTAACAAAGCCTACCATCAGTAACACACTACCCTGCCAGGGACTCAAATCCTGCAGTGCCAGACGTGTCCCCCTGCTTAAGCCAGTACATGTCCAGGCCCGTCTGAAGTTTGCTAGAGTGCATTTGGATGATCCAGAAGAGGATTGGGAGAATGTCATATGGTCAGATGAAACCAAAATAGAACTTTTTGGTAAAAACTCAACTCGTCGTGTTTGGAGGACAAAGAATGCTGAGTTGCATCCAAAGAACACCATACCTACTGTGAAGCATGGGGGTGGAAACATCATGCTTTGGGGCTGTTTTTCTGCAAAGGGACCAGGACGACTGATCCGTGTAAAGGAAAGAATGAATGGGGCCATGTATCGTGAGATTTTGAGTGAAAACCGGTCCATCAGCAAGGGCATTGAAGATGAAACGTGGCTGGGTCTTTCAGCATGACAATGATCCCAAACACACACCGCCCGGGCAACGAAGGAGTGGCTTCGTAAGAAGCATTTCAAGGTCCTGGAGTGGCCTAGCCAGTCTCCAGATCTCAACCCCATAGAAAATCTTTGGAGGGAGTTGAAAGTCCGTGTTGCCCAGCGACAGCCCCAAAACATCATTGCTCTAGAGGAGATCTGCATGGAGGAATGGGCCAAAATACCAGCAACAGTGTGTGAAAACCTTGTGAAGACTTACAGAAAACGTTTGACCTGTGTCATTGCCAACAAAGGGTATATAACAAAGTATTGAGAAACTTTTGTTATTGACCAAATACTTATTTTCCACCATAATTTGCAAATAAATTCATTAAAAATCCTACAATGTAATTTTCTGGATTTTTTTTCTCATTTTGTCTGTCATACAGTGGGGAGAACAAGTATTTGATACACTGCCGATTTTGCAGGTTTTCCTACTTACAAAGCATGTAGAGGTCTGTAATTTTTATCATAGGTACACTTAAACTGTGAGAGACGGAATCTAAAACAAAAATCCAGAAAATCACATTGTATGATTTGTAAGTAATTAATTTGCATTTTATTGCATGACATAAGTATTTGATACATCAGAAAAGCAGAACTTAATATTTGGAAGGAAACCTTTGTTTGCAATTACAGAGATCATATGTTTCCTGTAGGTCTTGACCAGGTTTGCACACACTGCAGCAGGGATTTTGGCCCACTCCTCCATACAGATCTTCTCCAGATACTTCAGGTTTCGGGGCTGTCGCTGGGCAATACGGACTTTCAGCTCCCTCCAAATATTTTCTATTGGGTTCAGGTCTGGAGACTGGCTAGGCCACTCCAGGACCTTGAGATGCTTCTTATGGAGCAACTCCTTAGTTGCCCTGGCTGTGTGTTTCGGGTCATTGTCATGCTGGAAGACCCAGCCACGACCCATCTTCAATGCTCTTACTGAGGGAAGGAGGTTATTGGCCAAGATCTCGCGATACATGGCCCCATCCATCCTCCCCTCAATACAGTGCAGTCGTCCTGTCCCCTTTGCAGAAAAGCATCCCCAAAGAATGATGTTTCCACCTCCATGCTTCACGGTTGGGATGGTGTTCTTGGGGTTGTACTCATCCTTCTCCTTCCTCCAAACACGGCGAGTGGAGTTTAGACCAAAAAGCTCTATTTCTGTCTCATCAGACCACATGACCTTCTCCCATTCCTCCTCTGGATCATCCAGATGGTCATGGGCAAACTTCAGATGGGCCTGGACATGCGCTGGCTTGAGCAGGGGGACCTTGTGTGCGCTGCAGGATTTTAATCCATGACGGCGTAGTGTGTTACTAATGGTTTTCTTTGAGACTGTGGTCCCAGCTCTCTTCAGGTCATTGACCAGGTCCTGCCGTGTAGTTCTGGGCTGATCCCTCACCTTCCTCATGATCATTGATGCCCCATGAGGTGAGATCTTGCATGGAGCCCCAGACCGAGGATGATTGACCGTCATCTTGAACTTCTTCCATTTTCTAATAATTGCGCCAACAGTTGTTGCCTTCTCACCAAGCTGCTTGCCTATTGTCCTGTAGCCCATCCCAGCCTTTGTAAGTAGGAAAACCTGCAAAATCGGCAGTGTATCAAATACTTGGTTCTCCCCACTGTAGTTGACAATGGTACCTAGATGAATTTTACAGGCTCTTCATCTTTTAAGTGGGAGAACTGCACATGGTGGCTGTACTAAAACTATTTGTTCCCCACTGTAAGATACAAAACCCCCCCTCTCTTCTTCTGTCTCTGTCTTTCGTTCTCTCCCCCCCCAACCCCACACACCCCATTATCTTGCTTTCTCTCTCTCTCCCTCCCATCTGGACCCTAAGACTCCTACTCTCATCAGAAACACACAGGGAAGGTGAAAACACATTGGACTACATTATAGAGTGAGACAGATCCTGTTAAAACAGGTATTCAGAGTAAGTGTTTGTTGGTAGAGCGGACAGAGAGCTGTATCTTTAAACAGCCAGAAGGTCCAGGAGAGAGTTCTGAGCAGACGCTCTACTACAGACGGCATGTTGTTTCTCAGTGGTTTATAAAAACCCAAGGTGCCGCGCTCGCTTGTATTTTAAACTTTAACAGCTTATTTAAAACTCCCTTAAACTGCTGTTGAGAGAACTTTAAAAGCCATCTTTAAAACTACTGTAAACGTCTTCTTTTACGGAAAAGATTGGTGCCTTTGTCCATAACCACAGGTTGCAGTATATTCTTCAACTGTGTTGTTGCAAAAACAAACGTATCACGACACTCCCGTTGTGTGTTAACTTTGCTAAAAAAAGCTTCTTACAAACAGTACACGTGAACTAAAACACCGTAGCCATTTTCAAGGTGAGAATGCCTGCACTGTTCTTTCCTCTTTATTTTAGTGAGCAAAATCCAACACACTCATCTAAAATCCATATTTGACTGTTGAGACATCAAAAACCATCAAACAACATTGTAGAAGTATAGATGTTTACACAGAAAAACGTATGATCATCATTATTATTAATATTAACATACTCTTCATCTCTAATGGAAAATATCAAAGCCATCAAAACAACATGCTAGGGTAAACAGGAAAAGCGGTCTTGCTCTGATGAATAAACTCTGTCTGTCTGTGTGTGTGTGTGTGTGTTCTCACTGCGAGTGTTGACCTGGATGTAAGCAGGATCATAGAAGAGGGGAAATGCTTCCTCTACTCCCCCCGCTCACACACTGCCTCATACACACACACACACACACACTCCCTGTGTCTCTCCTCCCCACGTGGAAGACATTTCAAAGGCAGTGGCCGCCATGTTGCTTCCATTATAGTCAATCAGAGCCTGAACCAGATATAAAAGCACTAGCCAGAGGAGCCGCCGTCAATACACCGACTGTTCTCTGTGTGTGTGTGTGGTTCTGAGGTATGTGTGTGTGAAAATCACGGGCATCTATTGCTCAATCTATTGTTGTATCATTCTTTCTGTCTTACTACCTATCAATCAGTCAATCTATACTGAACAAAAATATAAACGCAACATGTAAAGTGTTGGTCCCACGGTTCATGAGCTGAAATAAAAGATGCCAGAAATGTTCCATATGCACAAAAACCGTATTTCGCTCAAATTTTGCACACACATTTGTTTACATCTCTGTTAGTAAGCATTTCTCTTTTGCCAAGATAATCCATCCACCTGACAGGTGTGGCATATCAAGAAGCTGATTAAACAGCATGATCATTATACAGGTGCACCTTGTGCTGGTGACAATAAAGGCCACTCTAAAATATGCAGTTTTGTCTCACAACACAATGCCACAGATGTCTCAAGTTGTGAGGGAGCGTGCAATTGGCATGCTGACTGCAGGAATGTCCCCCAGAGCTGTTGCCAGAGAATGTAATGTTCATTTCTCTAGCATAAGCCACATCCAACGTCATTTTAGAGGATTTGGCAGTACGTCCAACCGGCCTCACAACCACAGACAACGTGTAACCACGCCAGCCCAGGACCTCCCACCCGAACAGCTGATGAAATTGAGGTGTATTTCTGTCTGTAATAAATCATTCTGATTGGCTGGGCCTGGCTCCCCAGTGGGTTGGCCTGGCTTCCAAGTGGGTAGGCCTATGCCCTCCCAGGCCCCCCATGGCTGCGCCCCTGCCCAGTCATGTGAAATCCAAAGATTAGGGCCTAATGATTTTATTTCAATTGACTGATTTCCTTATATGAACTGTATCTCAGTAAAATCGTTGAAATTGTTGCATGTTGCATTTATATGTTTGTTCAGTATATCTATCATTCTATCTATCGTTCAATCTCTTGTTCTATCGTTCTTTCTATCTATCCTGTAACTTGCACAGTTCTTATGGTTTGTAATAGACATGTGAGGGTTAAACACCAAACCAAGAGGATTGTGCCGCCAAACCCTTGTCTGCCCTTAGTAAACAACCACCATTGGACCAAAATAAATCTGAACCCAATATCAAATGTGACTAGAGCCAATTCTATGCCGGCACTCATGCCAAACCCCCAAACCACCAAACTGTGGAGCGATTTCCGAGATCTAAGAATGATGAGTCTCTAATTCAAATCAGACCAAAGTAATCAAGCAATGCTGGAGCTGGCTGTGTATACACACATGTTGGTGAGTTTGTTGGTGTGTGAATGTGTATGTGTGTGTGTGTGTCTTTGTCTGTCTGTGTGTGTGTGTGTGTCTGTGTGAGTGTGAGTGCGTGCATTAGTGATGGGGAAAAATTATCTATACAGATACAGTACCAGTCAAATGTTTGGACACCTACGCATTCAAGGGTTTAGCTTTATTTTTAAAATTGTATTCATTGTAGAATAATAGTGAAGACATCAAAACTAGGAAATAACACATGGAATCATTTAGTAACCAAAAAAGTGTTAAACAAATCAAAATATATTTGAGATTCTTCAAATAGCCACCCTTTGCCTTGAGGACAGCTTTGCACACTCTTGGCATTCTCTCAACCAGCTTCACCTGGAATGCTTTTCCAAAAGTCTTGAAGGAGTTCCCACATATGCTGAGCACTTGTTGGCTGCTTTTCCTTCACTCTGCCGTCCTACTCATCTCAAACTATCTCAATTGGTTTGAGGTCGGGGGATTGTGGAGGCCAGGTCATCTGATGCAGCACTCCAGCACTCTCCTTCTTGGTCAAATAGCCCTTACACAGCCTGGAGGTGTGTTGGGTCATTGTCCTGTTGAAAAAAAAAATGATAGTCCCACTAAGCCCAAACCAGATGGGATGGCGTATCGCTGCAAAATGCTGTGGTAGCCATGCTGGTTAAGTGTGCCTTGAATTCAAAATAAATCACCAGCAAAGCACCCCCACACCATAACACCTCCTCCATGCTTACGGTGGGAAATACACATGTGGAGATCATCCGTTCACCCACACCGCGTCTCACAAAGACAAGGCGGTTGGAACCAAAAATCTCAAATTTGGACTCTCAAATTTCCACTGGTCTAATGTCCATTGCTCGTGTTTCTTGGCCCAAGCAGCTCTCTTCTTCTTATTGGTGTCCTTTAGTAGTGGTTTCTTTGCAGCAATTTGACCATGAAGGCCCGATTCACACAGTCCCCTCTGAACAGTTGATGTTGAGATGTGTCTGTGACTTGAACACAAACTGCAATTTCTGTGGCTGGTAACTCTAATGAACTTAATCTTCCATTCCTGTGGCGGTCCTTATGAGAGCCAGTTTCATCATAGTGCATGATAGTTTTTGCGACTGCACTTCAAGAAACTTTCAAAGTTCTTGACTGACCTTCATGTCTTAAAGTAATGATGGACTGTCGTTTCTCTTTGCTTATTTGAGCTGTTCTTGCCATAATATGGACTTGGTTTTTTACCAAATAGGGCTATCTTCTGTATACCCCCCTACCTTGTCACAACACAACTGATTGGCTCAAACGCATTAAGAAGGAAAGAAATTCCACAAATTAACTTTTAAGAAGGCACACCTGTTAATTGAAATGCATTCCAGGTGACTACCTCATGAAGCTGGTTGAGAGAATGCCAAGAGTGTGCAAAGCTGTCATCAAGGCAAAGGGTGGCTATTGGAAGAATCTCAAATATAAAATATATTTTGATTAGTTTAACACTTTTTTGGTTACTACATGATTCGATGTGTTATTTCATAGTTTTGATGTCTTCACTATTATTCTACAATGTAGAAAATAGTAAAAATAAATCAAAACCCTTGAATGAGTTGGTGTGTCCAAACTTTTGACTGGTAGTGTACATATCGGGATATTATTTTTGACTCGATGGGTAGGAGGACAGGCTGGTGATGGGTCATTGCATCAGGACAAACTTGAAGTACGGACTGTTTGTTAAGCAAAGGACTGAAGATTGATGCCATTTAAATACTATGAGGGTGGTTGATTAATCAAGAGTGATTGGATGCAGGTGAGCAAATTAGAGAATTACCTATAAAATCGGTTGGGCCGATATATTTTGCCGATATTAGCCTTTCCTTGACTATCGGCGCAGCCGATTTACATTACATTTTAGTCATTTAGCAGACGCTCTTATCCAGAGCGACTTACCGTTAGTGAATGCATACCAATTTTTAAAAACGTTTTTTTTCATACTGGCCCCCCGTGGGAAACGAACCCACATCCCTGCCGGCCAAACCCTCCCCTACCTTGGACGACGCTGGACCAATTGTGCGCTGCCCATGGGTCTCCCGGTCGTGGCCGGCTGCGACAGAGCCTGGACTTGAACCAGGATCTCTAGTGGCACAGCTAGCACTGCGATGCAGTGCCTTAGACCACTGCGCCACTCGGTTACCTGCCGATGTCCCCTATGTAGCACGAGCACACTTGTCCCTTGTGTCAAACTGTTGCAAACCAGTGAGGAAAATATGTCTGGACTGCATCTTGTTAGCTACCCACTCATGCTGGATATACAGTGGGGAGAACAAGTATTTGATACACTGCCGATTTTGCATGTTTTACTACTTACAAAGCATGTAGAGGTCTGTAATTTCATCATAGGTACACTTCAACTGTGAGAGACGGAATCTAAAACAAAAATCCAGAAAATCACATTGTATGATTTTTAAGTAATTCATTTGCATTTTATTGCATGACATAAGTATTTGATACATCGGAAAAGCAGAACTTAATATTTGGTACAGAAACCTTTGTTTGCAATTACAGAGATCATACGTTTCCTGTAGGTCTTGACCAGGTTTGCACACACTGCAGCAGGGATTTTGGCCCACTCCTCCATACAGATCTTCTCCAGATCCTTCAGGTTTCGGGGCTGTCTCTGGGCAATACAGACTTTCAGCTCCCTCCAAAGATTTTCTATTGGGTTCAGGTCTGGAGACTGGCTAGGCCACTCCAGGACCTTGAGATGCTTCTTACGGAGCCACTCCTTAGTTGCCCTGGCTGTGTGTTTTGGGTCGTTGTCATGCTGGAAGACCCAGCCACGACCCATCTTCAATGCTCTTACTGAGGGAAGGAGGTTGTTGGCCAAGATCTCGCGATACATGGCCCCATCCATCCTCCCCTCAATACGGTCCTGTCCCCTTTGCAGAAAAGCATCCCCAAAGAATGATGTTTCCACCTCCATGCTTCACGGTTGGGATGGTGTTCTTGGGGTGGTTGTACTCATCCTTCTTCTTCCTCCAAACACGGCGAGTGGAGTTTAGACCAAAAAGCTCAATTTTTGTCTCATCAGACCACATGACCTTCTCCCATTCCTCCTCTGGATTATCCAGATGGTCATTGGCAAACTTCAGACGGGCCTGGACATGCGCTGGTTTGAGCAGGGGGAACTTGCGTGCGCTGCAGGATTTTAATCCATGACGGCGTAGTGTGTTACTAATGGTTTTCTTTGAGACTGTGGTTCCCAGCTCTATTCAGGTTATTGACCAGGTCCTGCCATGTAGTTCTGGGCTGATCCCTCACCTTCCTCATGATCATTGATGCCCCACGAGGTGAGATCTTGCATGGAGCCCCAGACCGAGGGTGATTGACCGTCATCTTGAACTTCTTCCATTTTCTAATAATTGCGCCAACAGTTGTTGCCTTCTCACCAAGCTGCTTGCCTATTGTCCTGTAGCCCATCCCAGCGTTGTACAGGTCTACAATTTTATCCCTGATGTCCTTACACAGCTCTCTGGTGTTGGCCATTGTGGAAAGGTTGGTGTCTGTTTGATTGAGTGTGTGGACAGGTGTCTTTTATACAGGTAACAAGTTCAAACAGGTGCAGTTAATACAGGTAATGAGTGGAGAACAGGAGGGCTTCTTAAAGAAAAACTAACAGGTCTGTGAGAGCCGGAATTCTTACTGGTTGGTAGGTGATCAAATACTTATGTCATGCAATAAAATGCAAATTAATTACTTAAAAATCATACAATGTGATTTTCTGGATTTAGATTCCGTCTCTCACAGTTGAAGTGTACCTATGATAAAAATTACAGACCTCTACATGCTTTGTAAGTAGGAAAACCTGCAAATTCGGCAGTGTATCAAATACTTGTTCTCCCCACTGTATTTGAGGTTAAGCACACTTGATTGATGACACACGGCATGTAGACATATTGAAAGAGTTCATTATTTTACTGTTTGGCAAAACAATGTACATCAGGGGTTGGAACCGGTTCAAGGAACAGAACCGAAAACTGTAATAGAATAACATTTTTCAAGGACCAGTGATCCCTACTGTTCTGGAACAGAATAGTTTATTTAATTTTTTTTACCCCTTTTTCTCCCCAATTTCGTGATATCCAATTGGTATTTGCTGCAACTCCCGTACGGACTCGGGAGAGGCGAAGGTCAAGAGCCATGCGTCCTCTGAAACATGACCCTGCCAAGCCACACTGCTTCTTGATACACTGTTCGCTTCACCTAGAAGCAAGCCGCACCAATGTGTCGAAGGAAATACCATACTGGCGACCGAGGTCAGCTTGCAGGTGCCCGGCCCGCCACAAGGAGTCGCTAGAGCGCCATGGGACAAGGAAATCCCAGACGGCCAAACCCTCCCCTAACCCGGACGATGCTGGGCCAATTGTGCGCCGCCTCATGGGTCTCACAGTCACAGCCGGCTGTGACACAGCCTGGGATCGAACCCGGGGCTGTAGTGACACCTCAAGCACTGCGATGCAGTGCCTTAGACCCCTGCACCACTCGGGAGGCCTCAGAACCGTTATTTTAAAAGCATGGGAACCGGTTAGTAATGTTATTTTACATTCCAGGCATTTTTTTCTAGTCCAACAACAAAACGCCTATGCAAAGCCCTCACTCTGTCACTCAGAAACGTATTACAGTGTCTGCCTGCAAGCTGAAAATCTTTGCCTGTGCCGAATTTGTTCTTAACTGACTTACCTAGTTAAATAAAGGTTAAATAAATAAATAAAAATCACGTTTCACGTAGGATACATTAACTACAAAAAGGTAAGATGTATTTTCAATTTTGGTGCCACTCTGCTTGTTAGCTAGCTAGCTCAAAGGACATTCAAAGATCCTCCATAGAAGCCACTCATCCTAGGTATAATTCTGTGTAACTAATTCATATAATACGTGTCATAACTAGATGCCCAGTGCCTCAATCCTCCTCTTAAACCCTCTCTCGCTCTCTCGCCACGTGCAAAATTTCAGTCACAACATAGGCTACACTTGTCTGTCCATCACGCATGTAAACAACTAGCTTGCCTGCTCTAGTCGCACTGATTGGTGAAGTAATTAAATGAGCTAAAATGTAAAGAACAGTTGATTTCACAGGTTAAAAAAGAAATAGAAAGGAACAATAGAAACCGGTACTTTTTGGGGGTTAGAACCGGTTCAGAACTTTATTTTGCTGGTCGGAATAGTGGAACGAAACAAAAAAATTGTGGTTCTGTTCAGAACGAAACTATTGAAAAAATGATTGCGGTTCCAACCCCTGAAGTCCATATACAGGCTACAGCACATTATAAAACAAGATACCGGTAGCTTGCTAGCTAGCTAGCCAGGTAGCTTGCAAAATAGGTTACATTCAGTCACAGAACGCTAACTTTGCTAGCTAGCTTACAGCTGAAGCTAAGGTCAGTTCAACTACCCTAACTTTATTTGTTATAATATGCAAACCATAACGCATAGCAAGCCGATTGTCTCCAAAAACGTTCACAGGGTTAAATTACTAGCTTTCTCTTTCTTGACGAACTGTTGCATGTAAGAGAGGAGTGTCTTGAGAGTGACTGGTCTGAGACAGACTTAAAATGACAGCACAGCTTTTTATGAAAATGTAGATTAGGCTGCTTCTATGCAAATGTTGTTGAGGCAAATATAGGCAAATATAATAGGCTAATATAAGTCCCAAATGGAAGGGAAACAGATTGTTATCTGTAGCACCATAGATTCCACTGAAATCAACCAAAACAAGCTCAATACCTCAATGCATGCACACACTCCTATTGAATATGCATTCCCCTGTATTGTGAGTAGGTCTATGCCATCTTGATTTCTACCAGCTCTTACAGTCTCACGTCAAAATTAGTTCAGCCATGTTTCTCAAACGTCAAGTTGTTCGAAACGTAAAATGTTGAAGTGTTTAAGGTTAAGTTTAGGCATTAACTCTGAATTTTTTAGGTTAGGGTTAAGTTCAGGTATTAACTCAAAATTCTTAAGGTTAGGCATTAACTCCGAATGGTTAAGGTAACGGTTAAGGTTTGGGATAGGCTTAAAACAAAAATATAAAAAATAACTTTCTATCGCTGGATTCGAACTTGCAATCCACCATCCCTGTCCGCAACGCCCTAGCAAAACCGTAACAGCGCCCACTGTTGCCCCTAGTGGCCAGTTTCCACATAATCTCCCGACATCCTCAGACATGGATGGAGTCGAATACTGACTTGTATCATGGGTGACCTGGCTGCTTTATTTATGCAGAGATTTACCATTCAAATACAATCATTACCATTATGTTGTTATGTTTTAACTTACATCGTAATTATTGTGTGCTTTTATTTTATTATATTTTCTATTATTATCTTTATTATTAATGCATTGCTGCGAAAGAGCTCTCAAGGTAAGAATTTCCCTGTACTGTTTTACACCTGTTGTATCCTGTGCACGTGGCGAATAAACTTAGAAACTTATGTTGTTAGATTGGTAAAAACAAAGTCAGATTTATTGTTTGATTTTAAAATATATTCATTTATGCATACATGGCGGGAAATTTTGTCATCAACATTTTCAAATTTAATGATATTGAATAACGGCATAAAATATTGGCCATCCAAAATATGGACCCCCAAAAATCTGTATCCACATCAGCCCTAAAAAATCCATATTGGTCGTTCTCTAAAGCAAATTGGCATGGTCATGGCTCTATGTCCATATACTGTATGGAGTTCCTTGCTAATAGGCCGCATTCCAATATGGGTGTCTGGGCCCATATATGGAGTTCCTGCTTCAGCACCACATTCCAATATGACAGTCTGTGCCCATATATGGAGTTCCTCTAAGGCTGCATTCCAATAAGGAAAGACAATGCCTATCTATACAGTTGAAGTCGGAAGTTTACATACACCTTAGCCAAATACATTTAAACTCAGTTTTTCACAATTCCTGACATTTAATCCTAGTAAAAATTCCCTGTTTTAGGTCAGTTAGGATCACCACTTTATTTTAAGAATGTGAAATGTCAGAATAATAGTAGAGATAATTATTTATTTCAGCTTTTATTTCTTTCATCACATTCCCAGTGGGTCAGAAGTTTACATACACTCAATTAGTATTTGGTAGCATTTCCTTTACATTGTTTAACTTGGGTCAAACATTTCGGGTAGCCTTCCACAAGCTTCCCACAATAAGTTGGGTGAATTTTGGCCCATTCCTCCTGACAGAGCTGGTGTAACTGAGTCAGGTTTTTAGGCCTACTTGCTCACACACGCTTTTTCAGTTCTGCCCACTAATTTTCTATAGGATTGAGGTCAGGGCTTTGTTGTCCTTAAGCCATTTTGACACAACTTTGGAAGTATGCTTGGGGTCATTGTCCATTTGGAAACCGCTTTGCGACCAAGCTTTAACTTCCTGACTGATGTCTTGAGATGTTGCTTCAATATATACACATAATTTTCCTTCCTCATGATGCCATCTATTTTGTGAAGGGCACCAGTCCCTTCTGCAGCAAAGCACCCCCACAGCATGATGCTGCCACCCCTGTGCTTCACGTTTGGGATGGTGTTATTCGGCTTCCAAGCGACACCCTTTTTCCTCCAAACATAACGATGGTCATTATGGCCAAACAGTTCTATTTTTGTTTCATCAGACCAGAGGACATTTCTCCAAAAAGTACAACCTTTGTCCCCATGTGCAGTTGCAAACCGTAGTCTGGCTTTTTTATGGCGGTTTTGGAGCAGTGGCTTCTTCCTTGCTGAGCGGCCTTTCAGGTTATGTCGATATAGGACTCATTTTACTGTGGATATAGATACTTTTGTACTGGTTTCCGACAGAATCTTCACAAGGTCCTTTGCTGTGGTTCTGGGATTGATTTGCACTTTTCGCACCAAAGTGCGTTCATCTCTAGGAGACAGAACGCGTCTCCTTCCTGAGCGGTATGACGGCTGCGTGGTCCTGTGGTGTTTATACTTGCGTATTATTGTTTGTACAGATGAACGTGGTAGATGTCCTAACCGACTTGCCAAAACTATAGTTTGTTAACAAGAAATTTGTGGAGTGGTTGAAAAATGACTGCAACCTAAGTGCATGTAAACTTCCGACGTCAACTGTAAGTTCCTGCTGTGTCGTCTGAAGGTTAAAGCTCTCCCCCCAAAACGGCGTTATAAACTACACCTATGAGGGGCTATCCACAGGAAGGTCACCTTATCACAATACAGCTGGAAGATACGGATGATAGAAACATCAGCATATGAGCTGTTATAATGAGCTAGCAAACTCTGTGACATGTTACATTTGGCCGAAGGGGAGAGTGACACTATTATTCTGACACCATGAGGGATCTATAGACCCCTCATGGTGTCAGAGTAATAGCGGCTCTCTCCCCTTCGGCCAAATGTAACACGTCACTCCCGAGTGGACTCCCGAGTGGCACAGCGGTCTAAGGCACTGCATCTCAGTGCTTGCGGCGTCACTACAGACCCCCTGCTTCGTTTCCAGGCTGCATCACAACCGGCCGTGATTGGGAGTCCCATAGGGCGGCGTACAATTGGCCCAGCGTCGTCCGGGTTTGGCCGGTGTAGGCGTCATTGTAAATAAGAATTTGTTCTTAACTGACTTGCCTAGTTAAATAAAGGTAAAATAAATTAGACCGGTTGGTTGTTTAGCAACAAAACCGACGTGTGCGCAACTATGGGGCAATACAGACGGGGTTGGCTTAGATTGTTGACAACATGTAAACTATATTTTGTCTCCAAATGTTTATTGAAAACATAAATACATTCGCACAATGAGTACTTGTTGTCTCTCAAATACATCATTACAGTTGTTGGTTAGCTAGCTAGCAAATGTTTTGCCATATTAGCATTGACATAAAATCAGTCAAAACACCTCAAAATAAGACATGGTTTTAAGAACAAGATACAATTAGCTGAAACGAACCACCTACGATTCCCCACATCGCAGCTTCTTGTCATTGTTGCTAGTTAACAGACCGTTCAGAACATTACAATACACGGCTTCCGGCCCCATCAATGCACGCACATAATTTACGTGACGTTGTCAACCAACCCGTCTATAGAAAGAGACTGGAGACTGTTTAGTTGTATTTTGCATTAGCTAAAGTCTACAGTGGGCTAAACTCTTTCACCTTGGCGGGCCATTTTAGCCACAGCCTTCCTCTCCTCACATCTCTCTCTCTCTCTCTCTCGTAATCTGAGTGTTCTTTATTTACTGGAAGACAGAGAGCACAGCATGAAAGAGACTGGGATTGGAGCCTGGTATTAGCACTTGACAGAGAGAGAGAGTGTGGTAAGAGAAAAGAGTCACTGAGGCTTTACCTGGAGTCTTTAAAACTCCCTAAATCCTCTGTCCCTGTCATACAGCCTTTACTAATGCACCTCTGAAGTGGCTCTACACTATAGCCAGTGCCCATGATAAGTCCTGTCATCATTCAAGCTCAGGGAGTGAGTGAGCACAGATCATTATCCAAACATCTGTATCTCTGTTCTAGGGTTGCACGATATTGGAAATAACTGACATTGTGATATTTAGTTTTTCTGCGATATATATTGTGATATGAAAAAATACAGGATGTATGTATGATCCTCTGGGAAAAATGCAGTTTGCAAACAGCGACTTTTCAGGTGGAAGTCCTCATTAATAAAGTGTACGGTCAGACTTATGTAGGGCTCCGCTGTCCGGCTGGACCACAAGTCCGTTGTTGCTGTATAATATTCCACTTGTGACAGCTCTGTTTCAACTTGTGCCTTTCATTTCTCGTACAACTCTGGGATTGCAACTTGAGAAAAATAGTTGCGTGATGGCATTACATACCGCTCGTCAAGCGACCGGAACATGTTTTTAAAACCCTCTTTGGTAACCGTGTTAATTGGTACCATGTCTTTGGCGACGTGAAATGTTATTGAATCTGTGATTTCTCTCTGCCGTTTGGATCCTTTCTCGTATAGTGTAATACTGGCAAAGGCATCCGAAATAGATTTTTGCTTTGGAGGGCATTGAGATGCTTTGTACTCGTCATACAAAGATTTGTGGTGCCGCCTTAAATGATCGAACAAATTGGTCGTGTTGCCTCGTGTTGTGGCAACAATTGCAAGGCACTCTCGACAAAGTACCTGTTTTTGGTCAACATCATCCTGTCTGTAGCCGAAATATTTCCATATAATTGACGATGCATTTCTTTTTGCAACCAAATTCTAAATTTCGGTCTTTTTTGCCTGTTCCTCGCTCATCATTTCATCACGCGCAAGCAAAGCCTGCATGTCAACCACATGCAGCAACGAACTAAGTGTTTAAAATAATAAAAATAATAATAATAATAATAAACTGTGTATCCAATAACCCATACATCTGAGTAAATTATGTTATATCAGACAGATATAATGCTAGTTTAACATAAAAAATATATATATATTGTAGACTGATATATGTTACCTTACTAAATCGCACGTTCTGCGATGTGACTATTGCGGATGCATACATCGCAATGTCGATGCTGAAACGATATATCGTGCAGCCCTACTCTGTTCCCGAGCCAGCAGCCATCCATACCATAGACACGCAGAGCAGAGATCACTCACACATATGGCCTCTCAACCCATCCATACATTCAATGATCAATCCAAATGCCTCCAGTCAATTAAGCTTTGTCATATAACGTTACATCCATCCCTGAAAAACAATACGCTCCCATAATAATTACACACACAAACGCATGCAAGCATACACACACACACACACACACACACACACACACACACACACACAGGCACACACACACACACACACACACAAAGAGACACACACTCAGACACACAGACCGTAGCTGTATGTCTCTAATGTTGTTGGTCACGGCATGTGGGATGGTAAACAGGTGGTGTTGCTTAGCCAAACACATCTCATGGATTAAAGACACCACCAGCAAATAAACTCAGCAAAAAAAGAAACGTCCTTTCACTGTCAACTGCGTTTATTTTCAGCAAACTTAACATGTGTAAATATTTGTATGAACATAACAAGATTCAACAACTGAACAAGTTCCACAGACATGTGACTAACAGAAATTGAATAATGTGTCCCTGAACAAAAGGGGGGTCAAAATCAAAAGTAACAGTCAGTCTCTGGTGTGGCCACCAGCTGTATTAAGTACTGCAGTGCATCTCCTCCTCATGGACTGCACCAGATTTGCCAGTTCTTGCTGTGAGATGTTAACCCACTCTTCCACCAAGGCACCTGCAAGTTCCCGGACATTTCTGGGGGGAACGGCCGTAGCCCTCACCCTCCGATCCAACCGGTCCCAGACGTGATCCGGGCTCGTCGCTGGCCATGGCAGAACACTGACACACGCACAGAACGAGCAGTATGGCTGGTGGCATTGTCATGCTGGAGGGTCATGTCAGGATGAGCCTGCAGGAAGGGTACCACGAGGGAGGAGGATGTCTTCCCTGTAACGCACAGTGTTGAGATTGGCTGCAATGACAACAAGCTCAGTCCGATGATGCTGTGACACACCGCCCCAGACCATGACGGACCCTCCACCTCCAAATCGATCCCGCTCCAGAGTACAGGCCTCAGTGTAATGCTCATTCCTTCGACGATAAACACGAATCAGACCATCACCCCTGGTGAGACAAAACCGCGACTCATCAGTGAAGAGCACTTTTTGCCAGTCCTGTCTGGTCCAGCGACGGTGAGTTTGTGCCCATAGGCGACGTTGTTGCGGGTGATGTCTGGTGAGGACCTGCCTTACAACAGGCCTACAAGCCCTGAGTCCAGCCTCTCTCAGCCTATGGCGGACAGTCTGAGCACTGATGGAGGGATTGTGCGTTCCTGGTGTAACTCGGCAGTTGTTGTTGCCATCCTGTACCTGTCCCGCAGGTGTGATGTTCGGATGTACTGATCCTGTGCAGGTGTTGTTACACGTGGTCTTCCACTGCGAGGACGATCAGCTGTCCGTCCTGTCTCCCTGTAGCGCTGTCTTAGGCGTCTCACAGTACGGACATTGCAATTTATTGCCCTGGCCACATCTGCAGTCCTCATGCCTCCTTGCAGCATGCCTAAGCCACGTTCACGCAGATGAGCAGGGACCCTGGGCATCTTTCTTTTGGTGTTTTTCAGAGTCAGTAGAAATGCCTCTTTAGTGTCCTAAGTTTTCATAAATGTGACCTTAATTGCCTACCTTCTGTAAGCTGTTAGTGTCTTAATGACTGTTCCACAGGTGCATGTTCATTAATTGTTTATGGTTCATTGAACAAGCAACAGTGTTTAAACCCTTTACAATGAAGATCTGTGAAGTTATTTGGATTTTTACGAATTATCTTTGAAAGACATGGTCCTGAAAAAGGACGTTTCTTTTTTTGCTGAGTTTATATTCATCACACACACACAGTTTGTTTTACTATCCTTGTGGGGACCAAACAATTGATTCCCATTCAAAATCCTATTTTCCCTAACCCTAATTGTAACCCTAACCCAAAACCTAACCCGTAAGCCTAAAATAGTATTTTTCCTAGTGGGGACCGGTGAAATGTTCCCACTTGTCAACATTTTCCTTGTTTTACTATCCTTGTGAGGACTTCTAGTCCCCACAAGGATAGTAAAACCAAACACACACACACACACACATGCAACCCCACACCCTGTCAAACAATACAGCAAGATTTCCCACAAAAATTCCTCAGGAATCTTTAACGGTGTGTGTGTGTGTGTGGTAATTAAGAAATTAATAAAACAAAAAAGGAAAACAATTAGTCATGGAGATACACTCATGTCCTCTGTGGCATCTCCTCAATGAACCCACACATACACACGCACACACACACACACAGCATAGCCTAATCTGCCCTGAAACCCAGCCAGGAGTCAAAGACACACTTGAGAGAAAAGCGCTTTCTGAGAGGAGTGCTGGATGGAATCCAGAAAGCCAGATTATTGTTGCTTAGAGAGAATGAAGCAGTGTAAGCTCATTAAAGACTGAAACTGTCTGCTGTTTAACAGGCCTAAGAGGAATTTAATTGTGTTACTTTGTCTCAAAGACTCTTCTTCTGGGAAAAACTCAAGCTAGTGTTTAGTTAGCGTCTCTTTTTGTAGCATGCATCTAAACACACACAGAGGTCATGACAGGTCGGGTTCTCTTTGATGTGTAGAAACAAAAAACACGTTTGAGAGATCACACATCTTTGTTTGGTCAACGAAATCAACAGCAAATCTTTGCTAACGAGGGTTTAAAGGTCATCATTGCTACGGCATTGACTGGCTATCCTTCCTCATCTTCTTTATAGCCACCTTTCCTATGCAACCATGTGAAACACCATCTCAGGGCTGCTCTGTGCCTTCAGTAGGGGGAGAACTATGTCTAGATTCTCTCCACTCCAAGGACCCGTTATGGTTGAGGAGCAGTACAGCCTCTGCATCACTGCTTTCCTGCATTCTCTAGAGCAGCAGCTACAGTAGGCCAGTTCAGCGAGGGCCAAATGTGTGTCAGAGTTGGAGAGGTTGGGAAAACAAACTCTCATGCTTTTTCATAGTTCAACTATGTCGTAAAAATGCCTCAAACTGCACCAGGTTTATTTCCATCAGTGAGAGAAAGCAAATTACACACACAGCCTCTAACACACACACACTAACACACAGCCTCTAACACACAGCCTCTAACACACACACACTAACACACAGCCTCTAACACACACACACTAACACACAGCCTCTAACATACACACAGTAACACACAGCCTCTAACACACACACTAACACACCTCACACACACACTAACACACAGCCTCTAACACACACACACTAACACACAGCCTCTAACACCACACACACTAACACACAGCCTCTAACAACACACAGCTAACACACAGCCTCTAACACACACACACTAACACACAGCCTCTAACACACACACACTAACACACAGCCTCTAACACACACACACTAACACACAGCCTCTAACACACACACACTAACACACAGCCTCTAACACACACACAGTAACACACAGCCTCTAACACACACACACTAACACACAGCCTCTAACACACACACACTAACACACAGCCTCTAACACACACACAGTAACACACAGCCTCTAACACACACAGACTAACACACAGCCTCTAACATACACAGACTAACACATGTGAAGAGAAAACACACACTAACACACAGCCTCCCACCGGGTTTTAAGAGGTGCAGAGAGGAGAAAAAGAGAGAGCGAGAGAGATATAGATGGGGGGAGAGATGGGATAAACTTGGTGGTATTTAGAATGGTAGAAAGACTCCTATGTAAACAAGTTCACTGATTTTCTCTCTCTCTCGGCCATGAAGATGCAATCAGTGAACTTGTTTACATAGGAGTCTTTCTATCATTCTAAATACCAGCAAGTTTATCCCTTCTCTCTCTCTCAGCCATGAAGATACAGAGAGAGAGAGAGAGAGAGAGAGACCCAAACTTAAGGAAAGCTTTGACTATGTACAGACTCAGTGAGCATAGCCTTGCTATTGAGAAAGGCCGCCGTAGGCAGACCTGGCTCACAAGAGAAGACAGGCTATGTGCACACTGCCCACAAAATGAAGTGGAAACTGAGCTGCACTTCCTAACCTCCTGCCAAATGAATGACCATATTAGAGACACATATTTCCCTCAGATTACAGCGATCCACAAAGAATGTGAAAACAAACCCAATTTTGATAAACTCCCTTATCTACTGGGTGAAAAACCATAGTGTGCCATCACAGCTGCAAGATTTGTGACCTGTTGCCACAAGAAAAGGGCAACCAGTGAAGAACAAACACCATTGTAAATACAACCCATATTTATGTTTATTTATTTTCCCATTTGTACTTTAACTATTTGCACATTGTTACAACACTGTATATATACATAATATGACATTTGAAAAGTCTTTATTCTTTTGGAACTTATGAGTGTAATGTTTACTGTTAATATTTATTGTTTATTTCACTTCTGTTTACTATCTACTTCACTTGCTTTGGCAATGTTAACATACGTTTCCCATGCCTATAAAGCCCTTACATTGAAAGATTGAGAGAGAGAGAGAGAGGAGAGAGAGAGAGAGAGAGAGAGAGAGAGAGGAGAGGAGGAGAGGAGAGAGAAGAGAGAGAGAGAGAGAGAGAGAGAGAGAGAGAGAGAGAGAGAGAGAGAATGTACTTATAGAGGGCAACACCTGGCCAGCAAGGCTTGAATCAGCAGTCCTGCAGTTAACTGCACAGGGAAAGCACCTGTGCTATAAGACCTCTAGGCAGATGCCGTAGACGGAAAGAGAAGACAGTTACATTGCCATATGAAACCAGGGTAGTAGCAGACTTTCTGGGCAGAGCACAGCACAGATAGACCAAATAAGTCAGGACCACTTTCCACACACATCCCTGTGGTACCAGCCCAGCTAGCAGAAATCAATGGGCCTTCTGTGTGTGTGTGTGTGGTGTGTTTTCTCCTCGTCTGATGCATGTGGGGCCCAGTGCTGGTCTGGGATGGTGAAGTTAGGGGTGGTGGTGGGGTGTGGGGAGCTGGTAAGTGATGAAAGCAGGTCCTTGTTGCCCTCTATGGAAGTGAAGCCAGTCCTCATTCCTCCCCCCCATCCCCTCCTTTTCTTCACCCACATAAACTCATATCTGTCCTCCCAAATCAACTCACCCCCTTATCACCCCTTCTTAGATGGTTAAGGGTAACTTTTAAGGAGAACTGCATATTTGGACAACAACCTCTGTGAAGACTGAAACTAAAAACAACACAACTTAATGACCTTAAATAATATATGACTCATTATCTGATGGCCTACTTACATTTCTGATGGTTAGCCTCAAAGGTGTGTGTGTATGTGTGTGTTGAGGGGGGTATATGTGTGGTAGGCAATAGACACACATGCATCCACATGTTCCTATGTTATTGTGTTTACATTTACATTTTAGTCATTTAGCAGACGCTCTAATCCAGAGCGACTTACAGTTAGAGTGCATACATTTTTCTACTTTTTTTCTTCTATAATATAGATCCTAGTGTTCTGGGTTGAGACTTGCCCTATAGAAGACTCCTCCCACCATGGAGGATTTTTGTGGCTGGTTCCCATGGCAACAAATCGCTTGACATGGGAACCAGACTTCCCTAACCCCGGCTCCCTCTATTCTATCTTAAACAGCGCTGTACTCTTACCAGGACTTCCTGGAGCTTTAGGACGCAAATAGAGATGAAACAAGCAGCCAATAGAGTTAGAGCAAAGGTGGGATGAAGACACTTCTACCCAATCAAAACACAGAATCATTCACACACACCCACCTCCTCCCTCACGCCTATCAATAAATCTCTCCACCAATAAATCTCACCATGACCAATCAGGCTTTATGTTGACTCTTTGTTGCCCAATTCCAAACCTCAACCGGAAACCAAAAAGAGGGATAGAAGAGGGCACGAAGCCCTGAGCTGTCCCTACAAGCACCAAAGGTCGTCATTCATTCAGGCTCTTTGTTACACTGCACACACACAGTCTCCTTACTATACTTCATACTGTTGCTTTGACAGTGAGCTGAGTTAGGTGTCCTGGTAGGAAGAGAGTACAGAGACAGATCTGGTCTTCATTATGACCTACTGTACTGTACAGACTCCCACTATGTCTACTCCACTGGGAGCACAAACACATTGTTCAGGGCTTGTTTAGGGTAACACACACACACGTAATACAGACATACACACACAGTATACACACACCGGTCCCTTTCAACACTCAGCCACTGTCCATGTGTGTACAGTCTCTCTCTCTCTCCTGAATGTATGCATGTATGCACAAGCATACACGCACACATACACATGTGCACACGAAAACATAACCATACACTCACACACTGCTCATCTCCCTAACTTAGTTACGCTCATACACAAACACACTCCAAAAACATCCAGACAATCCCTGTTGATGGTAATCACTTCCCCCATTCACTGAGACAGGCATGTTCCAACCCATCACAAACACACACTGCACCTGCACACATTAACACAATTGACAATGCATCAGAGTTATCTGATGTGTCGTCCTCCTCTCCTCCTCTTTCAGACTCCAAGGATGGGATGGAGGGGAAGGATACATGTTTATAGTATTTGAATAGGGCCTCCTTCCATTCTGTCCTCTCTTTATGTACAGGATGGCACTTGTCATGTAGTGACATTACCTTCCCCTAGACCAGGGTGTCAAACTCATTCCAAGGAGGGCTGAGTTTCTGCAGGTTTTTGGTTTTTCCTTTCAGTTAAGACTTAGACAGTTCCTTACTAATTAGTGACCTTAATTCACCAATCAAGTACAAGGGTGGAGCGAAAACTTGCTCTCACTCGGCCCTCTGTGAAATGAGTTTGACACATGTGCCCTAGACCTTCAGTACTGTCAATGCCACAACAGTTCACTCACCTGTGGTGGGTGTGGGGGTTGGACTAGGGGTGGAGGCTGGGGTGTCTGTGGGGGGATTGGGGTGCGGAGTGGGGGGACGTGGGTCCCCATCATCAGGGGGCTCAGATGAGCTGACAGGGGGGCTCTTCTCCTCATCCATGGGTGTGGCTCACTAGGGGGTGGGGGAACAGGTGTCAAGCCTGAGATAGAGACACAGAGAACCCTGTCAGGCAACACTCATCCACTCTCACATGGTACTTTTTGTCTCTCTCAAATGTTACGAGAGAGAGAGAGAGATTTGATCATGCTTATAACACCAATCAGCAGAGCACCCCAGCATGGAAACAGAAAAAGGAGAAAATCTACCAAACAAACAATAAAATCAAACTACCATACAGTGTTTGTATCTTGACCCTTTCCTCAGAATGTTTCAGAAAAGTTTCATAATCCTAACAGAGTACGCCGAAATTGGCCAACATGGAGGGATTAGAGAGCATGTGCGTGACCACCTCTGAGGGACAGCTGTGCTCTGGCCTGCTTATGCTCCTCACGCAACACACACTGCAAGGCCTCTGTCACAGCTCAGTATGTAGCACAACCAGCCAGCCATTGACATGTTCATATTTCATGTATTGTGCTCACATGGGACATTACATTTATTTCAGAAAACAAATCTCCACTTCTTCCTTCTCATGACTGCCTGGACGCATTCTAGAACCTTCTGGGCTAGAATCTATTTCGCTCTGGTCGAGATAATTGGCTAACCTTTTATTAAATGGGCTTCTACACTTTTGGCACTTTTAGTCATCTAAACTGACTGTAGCCTACACTAAACACTTACAGTAGCCTAGTATCTCAATGTCACAATATTGTGTCTGAAATATGTGCTTTCTCTATACAAAGATGATAATAAAATCTAAATGGTATCAAACTTTGAATGACTTTTAATGATGTTAGAAAACTTTATGAAGTTGGCAAAGTCCTCAACTAAACAGCTGTGTTGATCCTTCATCACAACTAAAAGCATCTGATCCTTACCTTAACCCTGACCTGAACCAGTACCTGGGCTTGAGGAGAAGAGGTACTGGTTCAACCCTGACCCTAACCTTAACCTAATTTTAACCAATTCTGAAATTAAATATAGGTTCCAGGTCAGGAGTGTCCATATAGGTTTTCCCCATCTCATTCTATTTACCTTGTATTACATGCCTGCCCTGGTTTCTTTCTCCTAACGAGTCCATGCACGCTCACCCCGAGCCAGCCCGACTCAATCCTGTGGGTCCTGTTCAAACTCGATTTATATTGAAGCAAAAGGCGAGGAGTTAGACAACAACATAGGTAGAACTCCTCAAAACCACTTACCTTACTGTTGGTTGCGACACAGGGCACTCGTTGTTCGCTAATTCATTCTCTGACCCCTTTCACAGGTAGACTAGATTCTCCTCTCCTCTGACTTTCCCGTGCTCTCCACTCTTCTGCTCTACTCTCCTCAAACTTCCCCTCTCGTTGTCACCACAACTCTTCTTCTCGTCTCCATAAACTCTAAACTCATTCATGCGTAATTTTAGGACATTTATTGATGCAGAAGTGGACTGTTAGGATTTTGTTCGACAAGTTTCTCTAATTTCAAACCCCCTCGGGGACTCTATTTCTGACTGTGCAGTTCCTCAGCCGGTCAGTGTAGATGTGGGTTCGAGCTCTATGGGCAGTCCCCAGAACAGTTGTTGTCTCGTGTTCAACTTTCCCAGCCATTACAGAGGTTTGACAGTTAGGCAACAACGCTCTCTTTACAAAGTCAAAAAAAACTATTTATAACTTTCCAAACTCACGAGTTGCCTGCTGTTGTAGATGATTCAGTGTTGAAACTTTGGATGTCATCAGACTTGCCCGTACTTCACGCACTCCTGTCTGTCTCTCCTTCCCTCAAACGCTTGTCTGGAGAAAGCTCCAGTCTGTTAGAAAATAAACTACAGTCAGCACTGATTACCGCGCTTCCTCCAGGCACACATTTAGAATTACCCCTAAACTAGAGCCACGGATTGACTAACATGGGATCTCAGATGAGCTACATTATTATATAGACGCATACCTCGATGTGATAATTAGGATTATGATAACAATTTTTATTATCACCATAGTAGGATAATATAGCTAGGCCTAGTATTAAGCAATAATTATAAATTATAACAATTTGAAATCGTTGGGACTAGCCTATGCATAAATATAGTAGCCTATATTATGATGTATAAAACAAGCCTAATAATAGGTCTAATAATAATAAAGAATCCTTTTTTAAAGTCATTTTTATACGAATAGTCTACTTTATTTGTGTCAGATGCTCACATGTTAACAAATGGTTCATGTTCAAAGTGCGTTTAGGTAGGCTACACAAACAATTAATTGTGTATAACCTAGGCTAGCCACAAACGTCATTATCATGCATCAAACAGTTGAAAAGGCCAGCCTCATTCATTTCCGCCATTCGCGTGCGCCAGTTTTCCCGCAAAGGTTCGTATTTATCAGTTTTGAACTCGCAGGAAAGTCTATGCATCTCCAAGTACAGCTCAGACCATGCGTAAACACAACTTCTAGCGGTTGATCAATTGTATTGCAAGCAAATATTGTTCTTATGGGGAAATGGTGGCGTTTGATGCAGGGGAATTATTTACATTTACGTCATTTAGCAGACGCTCTTATCCAGAGCGACTTACAGTTAGTGAATACATAATATTTTTTTATACTGGCCCCCCGTGGGAATCGAAACCCAACCTGGCGTTGCAAACGCCATACTCTATTAACTGAGCTACATCCCTGCCGGCCATTCCCTCCCCTACCCTGGGCCAATTGTGCGCCGCCCATGAGTCTCCCGGTCGACAGAGCCTGGATTCGAACCAGGATCTCTAGTGGCACAGTTAGCACTGCGATGCAGTGCCTTAGACCACTGCGCCACTCAGGAGACTATAATGTGCCTAATGATAAAACAGTTGCATTTGCTATTGGTAAGGAAATTGCATAGCAGCATGTAGCCTAATATGTTTATTTTTACTTTTATTATATAGGCCTACATCATAATCATATATTGCAGGATGTCTCTCCTTTTCAGACATGACTGGTTTATTCCCACTGTACAACAAATATTAGCCATATATTTATCCATCCCTCATTCAATAGCCAAGCATGCTCGAAAGCAAATAGACAAGTAGTTTACTTTAAATGTTTGACAGTATGGGTAAGCTATACATTATTGCTGTGTGGTAGTAGCATGGTCTCATAGACTAGACATAACACGGTAAATGTAAATCCAGGACACTCAAAGTAGTATGATATGTTATGTTTGGTATGGTTACATAAAGCAGAAGGTTACTTAAGACTAAAACGAAAGGAGGGTAGTTGGTTGGCTACTGTATTAGTCCAGGGAGATATCTAGGGTGAGATTACATATTTATACAATATTCTAACTCCGGAAAGGGTATATGCTGACATATCTAAGCCTTTATACTTAGGCATGAACGAATCCACACATTTTCAGAAATGTATCATATCTGTATTCATTACCTGATCATTTATGTATCCGTATTTCTAAAAAAAATACATAATTTCAATAGATATCCTTACCAGATATGTAATATTCATCCTTATTTGTCTGATCGAAAATGGGCTAAATCCAACTCATGATCAATGTCCAGCACCCAAATAATTGTACCTGTTCAGGTGCAGAAAATCATCTTTTAAGTCACCTTCATGTGAAAAAAGTGTAATGTAGAGATATTCGCTGTTATGGACCCTTTTTGCCCAGTATAACCCTAACCCCTAACCCTAACCTCTAGCCTTGCTAACGTTAAGCAGCTAACTAATGTTAGCATTAGCCACGTTTTACGAATTTGTAACATAGGCTATTGTACGAATTGCAATTCGTAGCATATTGTACAAATGGCAATTTGTAAGATACCATACAAATTGTAATTCATAACATATCATACGAAATTATTTTTTATTTTTTTATTTAACCTTTATTTAACCAGGTAAGCCAGTTGAGAACAAGTTCTCATTTACAACTGCGACCTGGTCAAGATAAAGCAAAGCTGTGCGATAAAAACAACAACAACACAGAGTTGCATATGGAATAAACAAAACGTACAGTCACTAACACAATATAAAATCTATATACAGTGTGTGCAAATGTAGTAAGTTATGGAGTTAAGGCAATAAATAGGCCATAGTGCAAAATAATTACAATTTAGTATTAACACTGGAGTGATAGATGTGCAGAAGATGATGTGCAAATAGAGATACTGGGGTGCAAATGAGCAAAATAAATAACAATGTAAATAACAATATGGGGATGAGGTAGTTGGGTGGGCTAATTACAGATGGGCTGTGTATAGGTGCAGTGATCGGTAAGCTGCTCTGACAACTGATGCTTAAAGTTAGTGAGGGAGATAAGTGTCTCCAGCTTCAGAGATCTTTGCAGTTCGTTCCAGTCATTTGCAGCAGAGAACTGGAAGGAATGGCAGCCAAAGGAGGTGTTGGCTTTGGGGATGACCAGTGAGATATCCCTGCTGGAACGCATACTACGGGTGGGTGTTGCTATGGTGACCAATGATATAAGATAAGGCAGGGATTTGCCTAGAAGGTGATTTATAGATGACCTGGAGCCAGTGGGTTTGGCAACGAATATGTAGTGAGGGCCAGGTAGTACAGTGACGGAAAAAAGTATTTGATCCCCTGCTGATTTTGTACGTTTGCCCACTGACAAAGAAATGATCAGTCTATAATTTTAATGGTAGGTTTATTTGAACAGTGAGAGACAGAATAACAAAACAAAAATCGAGAAAAACGCATGTCAAAAATGTTTTAAATTGATTTGCATTTTAATGAGGGAAATAAGTATTTGACCCCCTCTCAATCAGAAAGATTTCTGGCTCCCAGGTGTCTTTTATACAGGTAACGAGCTGAGATTAGGAGCACACTCTATAAAAGACACCTGTCCACAGAAGCAATCAATCAATCAGATTCCAAACTCTCCACCATAGCCAAGACCAAAGAGCTCTCCAAGAATGTCAGGGACAAGATTGTAGACCTACACAAGGCTGGAATGGGCTACAAGACCATCGCCAAGCAGCTTGGTGAGAAGGTGACAACAGTTGGTGCGATTATTCG